TTAATCACAGAATCTCAGGGTGGGACGGGACCTCGGGAGGTTCTAGTCCAACCCCCGGCTCAAAGCAGGACCAACCCCAACAATCATCCCAGCCAGGGCTTTGTCAAGCCTGACCTTAAAAACCTCCAAGGAAGGAGATTCCACCACCTCCCTAGGGAACCCATTCCAGTGCTTCACCACCCTCCTAGTGAAATAGTTTTTCCTAATATCCAACCTAAACCTCCCACACTGCAACTTGAGACCATTACTCCTTGTTCTGGCATCTGCCACCACTGAGAACAGTCTAGATCCATCCTCTTTGGAACTCCCTTTCAGGTAGTTGAAAGCAGCTATCAAATCCCCCCTCATTCTTCTCTTCTGCAGAAGAAACAATCCCAGTTCCCTTAGCCTCGCCCCATAAATCATGTGCTCCAGCCCCCTAATCATTTTTGCTGCCCTCCGCTGGACTCTTTCCAATGTTTCCACATCCTTCTTGTAGTGTGGGGCCCGAAACTGGACACAGTACTCCAGATGAGGACTCACCAATGCCGAACAGAGGGGAATGATCACGTCCCTCGATCTGCTGGCAATGCCCCTACTTATACAGCCCAAAATGCCATTAGTCTTCTTGGCAACAAGGGCACACTGTTGACTCATATCCAGCTTCTCGTCCACTGTAACCCCAGGTCCTTTTCTGCAGAACTGCTGCCTAGCCACTCGGTCCCTAGTCTGTAGCAGTGCATGGGATTCTTCTGTCCTAAGTGCAGGACTCTGCACTTGTCCTTGTTGAACCTCATCACATTTCTTTTGGACCAATTCTCCAATTTGTCTAGGTCCCTCTGTATCCTGTCCCTACCCTCCAGCGTAGGGATAGGATACAGGGGGAACTAAAGATGTGCAAGGACAATATCACTGCCAAAGTTTGAGAGCTTTATTGTTTCAACAGGTAGTTAAACATTAGTCAAAAACATAGTCCAGGTTACTGATGGAGGAATCTATTTTCTGAAAGAGTACAAAATAAATCTTCTCCAATTGGGCGTGACAGGCAGACCTCACATTCATCTGTTTTTCCAGCAAGGCATATGTTAAATGACTTCTCTGTTCCATGAAAAATGACCCACCCACCAGACAAAATTCCACATAGGTGACTCCTCTTCCCCAGCTACGAACAGCCAACTAATCGGACACAAAGCTCTTACAGAGCTGTTCCTCCTAGGACAGCTGTACTTGGTCCTATTGTTCTTTTGAGTTTCCACGTTAGAAAAGACAGCACTGGAAGTGCATCGATTTCATGGTTAGACCTACAAAGGAATGCTAATAGGAGATTATTTGGAGACCCAGAAACTTAGAACTGTTCCACAGGGATAAGAGTAACCAAGTGACTGTCTCAGCATAGTACTAGAGATCTCATTTTATCTTGCTAAGTTGCTTTTCCCATTGCCAAACTTTTATGAGTTGATTTGCTCTTACTGAGTTTACAGGTTTGAGGCACTTATGTTTAGGGGAAATATGACTTCACTTCAGAGTTATGCTTCTGTAGTTTCCCAGTAAATGCTCTGCAGTTGTTCTACACAACAACTGTGTTCCATGTTGTTATGGTCATTTCTTGGATCAAAAAGTCTCACTGTCTTCTGTCAGCTGCCTCCCACTGGGATGGGGCCACTTTCCCTGTAGTGTTTCCATGAGCTTAATATTTTTTAAAATTGTACTTAAAAACCTGGCATCGTGCAAAGCTCCGTTTCAGCTAGGATGTGGACAATATAAAAATCACACATGGTCTGATCCACTGATTGCAGGGGGCTTTGAATCAGGCCTTATCTGCGTGCGCTCCAGGCATACGTACGGAGGCTATGACTGTTCAGCAGAAGGGGTGTATATTTTAAAATATACCTGCTTCGTTTATTTCAGTCCATACTTTCAGAATATTTTTCTTGTGAAAAATCAGTGTTTTTTAAATTTTGAAGGAAAAAATGGTAAAGATTTTTTAAATAATCTACCAACTCTGTGCAAACGTGTGACCGAACGTAACAGCTCAGAGAGGAGACTTAGTCCTGCTACTAATTCAAAGATGCAGTTAAACATCTGAAGAGTCAGAACATCGTGTCCAAGTTGATGCTCTGTTCATTGTCTGGCCCTGTCTGAGGAAAGAACTCACCACAGTGGGTGCAAGATCAAAGTTCTTTTCATTGGACTTTGCTGTTACATACTGTCAGTGACCGTTGTCTGAGGACAAGGAACACCAGCTAGAAGCAATGGGCTCTAACATAACCGATGTGAAATTTTCTAGGCTGGATGCCAGGAAAAACAGAAACGCCATCCAACAGCCATTTTCAGGAGTTGCAGACAACTGTAGCAGAGATCCCCTCCCTACATAAGATGGCTACGCTTTAGAATTCCTGTATGAATCATGAGTGTGTGGTTTGAATTCTGAAGATCCCTGAACATACTGGTAAGCTTCAATATGCACCTGGAAACCGTGCCATTAGGGGGTGCAAAAGGACTAAGTTTTCATCCCAAAAAGAAATCAGAGGAAGTCCAAAAAGCTGCAGTTGTCATTACCATCACATTTTATTTCTTACTGGAAAAAAAATAAAAATAAAAAGACTTTAAACAGGTTTATTTCTTCTCCCTGTCTCAAAGACACGCTGGGTTTGGCTTTCCAGCCACAGGACTGCCAAGGCACCCAGGACAGAAAAAGTGGTGCTATGTTAGGTGCTCGTTGAAAATAAAAAGAGCCCTGTGCTCCTATTTTCAGTCTGTAACTGGCACATTTCACAAAAGGAAACAGATAGAACCGCAAGTAGGTGAGCTCGGAGCAGGACCAAACACCTCACAAGCTACATTTGCGACTTCGCTTCTTTCTTTTGGCCAGCCATGAAAAACTCAGAACTGACGCAATAAATTACTGAAGGAGATGGGAAAGGAGGAGAAGAGTTAGTCACAGGCTCTCCTGTCTAGTTCTATGTGTAGCTTGAGGGGAACCCAAAAGCTAGCTAGATCAATTCCTTTTTTGTCTTGTCCCTTTGGTCACACCAGAGAGCCAGCCAGCCACACTGGAATTCCAAGTGGAGTAAGTGCTCTTTAAAAGCAGGGACTAGGAACTCACTCTGGGCCTGGGTGGAGAGAAAGTGATGATGCTCCACTGAGTAATCTCACTTCTCTTCACTTTCTGACTCCCTGAATACACACAATCTGAACCACCGGCTGAGCTGGCTAACAAAGAGCAGCGGCCAATGGGTCTTCTCTAGACGCACAGAAGGGTAACATTAAGGCTTGGTCTACACTGCACTTTTGTCGGTAAAACTTCGGTCGTTCAGGGGTGTGAAAAAACACCCCCCCTTCCCCCGAAAGACAAGAGTTTTACTGACAAAAAGTGCCGGTGTGAACAGTGCTTTGTTGGCGGGAGAGCTCTCCAGCCGACAAAGCTACCGCCTCTCATAGGGGTGGATTTATTGTGTGGTCGGGAGAGCTCTCTCCCGCCAACAAAGAGTGGCTACACTGCGCACCTTCTAGCGGCTGTGTCACTAAAAGGTGCGTAGTGCAGACTTAGCCTTTATGTATTCTGAGCAAGTTAAATGTAAGGAAGGGTGTGACGTAAAGAACAGTGGACAAATCATTTGATTTCTAAAGAGAGGAAACGCCGAAGAGAATCTGCTACACTGGCTGTACAAAATCCAGTTACTGGATTGGACCAATGGCCTAGAGCTCAGAGAGCTCCTAACGTTAGATTTAAAAATTTCAATTTGAGTTCCAGGAAGAAAGTTTTGTAGTTCCAGATTCTGCCTTGAAAGCCATGAGACAGCAAGAGAGAGTAGTCAACACACCGAATATAAGAATAAACTTTCTTAAGACAGCCAGACCCCCAGTTTAAAGAGCTAATTCACTTCCCATTACAATGGGTGAAGAAGAAAATCTGCAGCTAACAGTCTCTTCCAGTCAAGGCTGACTGTGACCCACTATTGTTGTCTGTTGCTGGGAGTAAGGTGTATATCTATGATAACCACCACCAAGCTACCTGAAAGAGAGAAACCCCTCCAGGCTCTCCTGCAGCAACCCTCTGCATTTGTTAACTGCTACAAAGGGTAACAGCCTTCTCCTTTCCACCCGCCCGCACTGGCTGGTGTCTAAGCAGGGCTTTCTTTCACTTTAGGCTGAACGGAGAGGCACATAATGAGTTACTCAAAGAATCAGGGTTTCAGCCATGACCTCTGCCCAGACCACCGGTTTAATCTCTCATATCTCAAAACACAGCTGTCCTTTCTGGAAACAAGTCTACTTCTCTTGCAGAAGAAAGGGCCAAGACAGACAGTTCTGACCCCAGCACAAGATCTGGATAACCAGATCTTGATAATGCTCCCCCCAGGCTGAGGTGTAACTGCTATTGTTCTGTTCCATTTTCCTGAGAAAGAATGGACTAACTATATTGCTGGGCGCACATGGAACTGCAGTTAGCAATCACTCTGTAACATCATTAAGGAGACAAGAGAAACAAATGTCATAATCAGGCAAAACAGAGAAACTGCTGAAGGGCCCAAATGTTCCATACCCCAACACAGGCTGCCGAGAAAGGTTTAGTGGGTTTCAACAGAATGTTTTTGTGGCATAGAACACTTATGCCAGCTCCTTTGAAGTAACGCCTAGTGACTTAACTGTAGAGGATGGGAGTGAGGAATATTACTGGGACCACCAAAGCAGAAAATAAGGTCGCTAGCCTTCATGAGGTTTGAAAACCCTCTTGCTGCCAGTCTGCCAGCTGGAGAACAAGCGCTTAGTTTAGTTACATTCAGTACTGTTATCCACACAATGTCCCAGCAGCGCCAGGCAATGCTGTTTCAGCACGCCATTACCAACTCTCAATTTTATAACTGAAGCCTAAACTTTGCTTGGAGCGAGGTGGGATGGGGTGGCAAGGCAAGTGTATACAGCTTCCTAGGAGATCGCATTCATGGTGGTGGTGGTGAATTATCAGTAATCATCTTGCTTATAACAACTTTAAAACCTCTATGTTCCAGGAAACTTACCAGTGCAAACGGAGCGCATGAAGGAAAGCCGACAGGCCCTCCATGATCAGAAGGATTGCCACGGTCAAGGTAGCGAAAGCAGCAAATAGGAAGAACAAAGCAAAACCTCCAGCCAAATTTCTCACACTGAGGCCGATGTGGATCACCATGGTCCAGAGCACCTCGGAAAGCTCTGCAGGAAGAAAGCTGCTTATTTCAGGGTGGTTGTGAAGGGAAGTTTTATTTCCTTGAGAGTGGACTTTAGGGAACGTTCCGAAATAACCCGTTCCCACCCCGCTGGGACTGTTTCTAGCACTGCAGGAGCCGGAAGGATGGTTCCACTGGGGCTGCTTGTGAAGAACAGGAAGTGCTTGCAGCCAGGTAACTCAGGACCTGAACTCCAATTCCCGGCACAGGCTGCAAGGCCAGAAGTGCCACTTACTCAGTGCTTTACATGCCAACCCCCATGCCTCCATCCTCGCATCTGGAAGGAACTGGGGACTTTGTGAAAGATCCTGACTTGAAAATTTGCAGGGAACGTGGTGAGGGTTTGACCTTGAACCAAGTCTAGCTTGTCAAGTCTTCGCTACTAGGAAGTGTTCTTTCTCTATTTCTGACTTTAGCACCTAATACTTGTACTCACTTAAAACCTCTCTTTGTAGTTAAACAAACTTGTTTTATTCTTTAATCAAAATGAATCCAGTGTTGTGTTTAAACAGAACTGTTTGGTAACCCCAATTATAGTAGCAGACTGTTGTACACTGACCCCTTACAAGGGCAATGGACCCCCAATATCTGAGCTGTCCAGAAGGCTGGGCAATGCAGAACACACATTTTTGGGGAAAATCTAGGACTGGGAGTGTGTTGAGACCACTCTACAGGTAGTAACCAAGGCTACTGGAAGCCAGAGAGTAGCTGATGTTTGCTGACAGGCTGCTGGGGTCAGAGTGGCTGGAGCAGGACTGCAGCTACAGATACACTCAGGGTGTGACCTGCATGCTGTTTGGCTGTTTGCGAGCTGCCCACACTGGGAACTACATCAGCGAGACGCTGTGAGGCACCCAAGGTTGCAAGGCAGGTGATGATAACCCCTCACTAATCTGGACTGCACCCCAAAATACAGGACACATGCACTAGGGCAGTTTCCCTCTTTGGCACATACACACATGCCTACGCCATCTCCCCAGGACATTTTTGTCCAGGTTGATCTGAGACACTGATCAAACCTCCAGTTTTGGGAAAGATACTTACGTGCATGGGCCAGGCTGAGAGCCCAAAGCCGCAGGTAGGACGCGGTGTTGGAAATGCACCCCAGGCAATACTCAATGGTATGGATGGCCTGATGTACCACCGTATCCCCAAAATCAAACTGCAGAAAGAACAGAGCAAAGAGGAAGTGAGACCAGCTGCAAGGCAGTTGTAATGAGCAAGGGTTGGCAGATTAGGGAAGCGGCACCACTGTCTGGGGCTATTACAAGGGCACTATGTTTGGGCTCTTACTGACAATTTCTTCTACTGGCTATTTGGATACAGATCATTTAGGAAGAATATCAAATATAAATTTCACAATTGCAGGGAAAGTTGACACTTTTTGCTAAATCTGAGCAACTAATTAGAAATAATCATTCAACACTGCAATTTGTAGACTAAAAAAAGTGTCTACTTTCACATGACAGGCAATGAAAACAGTTATGATCAGACCCAGGACTTTACCAGGAAAAGACTGTTCAGTAAAGAGTGGTTCTGTATGAACACACTGGTAATGAGTGTATATTTCTACAAAAGAGGAGAGGGGTTACAAATACGGTTTTCCTTCTCCACAGGAATGAGATAAAATGTATGGAAAAAAAATCAGAAAAAGCCTGCGACAATACTGCTGTGGGAACAATGGAAGCAATCTTGTAAGAGCAGGAACTGGCTCTCTGTGAAAGAAGAAACAATGCACAAAAAGTTATCTTGAAAATCTCCCCTCTGCTTCACTTTTTCATCTGCAGTCTCTATGCCTTCCAAGCATTTTGGCAATCGATTCAAAACCATTTCAAAATAAATGTAGGAGAGTTTGCCACATTGCAGCTTGGAAAAGAGTCCCACGTTTCTGCATCTTGGCGTTAATCCATGCTCCGTGAACTTCTCCGAAGCACGTTATTAAAGGGGATGCAGAATTTTATGACACCGAGTGATCCATGATCCGAAAGGAGCACAGCATGCTATTTTTATTCTTGTCCCCCCCTTAAATAGCCAAAGCAATAAACATTTCAAACAACTATGTCAAACTAGCTGTCGAGAGCCCAGATCTCTCACTTCACAGGAGCATAAACTGCAAGAATTCCTCAGTAAAACCTGCTCTGGTAAACAGAGTCCTCTGCCTCGCGCGCACAGCAAATCAGCGTAAAATAAACTGAAACCGACAAATATTTAAACAATAAACACAGCGCATGGCAGAGTTAGTGAATAACTGCCAGGGAGACTACCACTCTTGTGCTTCAACCCAAAGGCTCTCATGGGATGGCTTTAGCAGAGTTCTCGCAGCCTTATGGGTTATTTTTCACTCTGTTTATTTAAAAAAAAGAAGTGTTGATGTGCCTTCATATCATTCAAATGTGATCAGATATATCTGCATTATGTTATGCCTATTTCACCAGCTCTAGGATTTATCCCTAAGGACAACAGTTCTCTTAAAAGATCTATGTTCAGCAAAATTTACACATTCAAAAAAGAGTCTCATTGCGAAGTTTCCACAATTCCACGGCTTTTATGCACAACTGACAGTTGTTTCAGAATTATGCAATCCAGGTTTACTATTGCACAGCTGATCCAGTTCTGAGGTGCTACCCTCATATGGTAGTACAATAAAAACAGCAACTTGATAAAGGGGAGATCTGAGAGTATGCCATGGTGGTATGTTTAGAATGTCACCAATCTTTGTTCTAGGAGACTTCGCTCCACTCAACACATTAAAAATTCACCTCAGTCATACACCTAAGATGGATAGGACCAAATTCTGCTTCCAGTTACATGTGTGAACTGCACGGACATTACTGGGGTTACACACAGGGAACTAGAAGCTGAAATCTGACCCTCTAGGGCAAGTCTTGAAACAAGCCAACAAGTGCTAGTGTTGGGGGAGGTTATCCACTCTCTGCTGTACTGTTTGGATGAAATGAACATCCTTGTTCTTGAGGGTTGAGAAGAACTCTATAGTTATTTCACCATCAGATCAACTTCTGTCATTGTCTCAACATTAGTTACCAGAACCCCAAACACTATAGGGATAGATAAAAATGTAATGATCTAAAGGTCTTGTGGGAACTGGAAAAGGAATTCGTATTTTTCTTGGCTATGTGGAGATGATGGAGCAACACTAGTGCATTCTATCATCATTTGTTGCTATGAAGACCAAGACCCACCTATAACAAAAAAATCTGAGGAAGGTTTTGTTGATGGTGAAGCAACCCATATCTTTATCATTGTATGCACCACCTTTCTTGGAGAAGAATGTGCAAGGGCCTTTTGCATGGACACCCCACATACCAGTCTATTTCACTTAAAGATAAAACAAGGACAAACAAAGGACCCACGAACAGAACAACGGCTCTTAAGGTTAACATACTGCCTCCCAAGACACAACCTATTACTTTGGCACTGCTAGAGTCTGGAGACACACCCACCCAAAGAGAATAACTTATCATATCAACTCTAGGACTAGGGGAGGTAGGAAGAACATGAAGAATAATGGTCTTTTGGTATCAAGAGCAGAGAGGCTGATTAGATTTCACAGTCTGTTCCCAAATGATATTTTATATTTCTCCAACTCAGAGAATCTAACTATTTGTGTTTGAATATGAGCAATTCTCACCAATAAACCCCCTCTTTTAAAGAGAAAAATATTGATTCTCTGGTCATCAGCTAGTCCAATTTTGGATGCTCCAATATTTGGTTGCATTTGTTTAGGGCAACATTCAGTCAATAAAATACCTAGTTCTGGACAATAGTAAGGGGGGGGGGGGAATCTACAAGCAGTTTGCAAAAAAAACCCAGACATTCCCATAGACCGTTATATCTGTTTTGTTAAAGTGTTAAAGACAGAGAATATAATATAATAATCTATAATGTCTATAATATAAACATTTAGAAGCCCCTTGTCAATCTTTTGATTGACAGCTGTGCAGGTCAATGGAGAAGGATTTGCAATCTAAAAATCAAGGGAGATAAGAAAGCAAACACAATTTAAAGAGATGCAGCAATTCAGACAAGGTATTTTAAAAATGGAGATGATATTGTATGGAGTATTAGAAATGGCCCATACATGTAAATAGCTAGATCTTATGGAAAAACAAGTCACATGGCATGAAAAAACATCATGAGTTAATTCGGCAGATGATTTACATCAATGGGAAATGGCGCAGATACATATGAATGCAAAGCTGGCTGTCATCTTACCACCTCATCCTCTGCAGGCTTGTAAACATAAATTTACATTTAGTGCAGAGTCTCACAATCAGAACATTCATCATGAACACGAGGTTAATAAATCCCTTATTAACGTGACCTATTTCAGTGGTAGCACTTAGTTAGCACACACTGTGCCGGCTGTGTAACGCCTAGGAACTGCAGCCCACTACCCTGTCCACATAGGCAGCAGAATGCCCCCAAGATGATAAATATCACTTTCCCTTTTTCTCCCCAGGTGTGGTAGAAAAGGCAGGGCAGTTAGGAAAACATGTCCAAAGTTGAGTACTCAAGAAATACAGCACTTGGATTTATTTTAAACACAGGCTTATAATGACAGACAGTTAAATCAATAGGGCAACTCAAATAATAAACACACAATTACCATTTCAACTGGAGAGTAAACTGGGTAAAATGTGTCTGGCAACTGCCTAGATTTTACCATTGGGGGGGTGAGTGGGGGAAGCTTGCCTATCAGATACCCATTCTTTGTAATAGGAATTCAGATAGAAAGGGCCACATATGTTCTTTGAGCTGTGCAGAGAACTTTCACTGATGTTAATAGTCATGAGGAGGAGTGGAAGGTAGCACGAGGAAGCAGGAAATTAGAATGGATATTAATTTCTACTGTTCCAGTTCCACTGGCAATGTTGGTACCGAGTTAGGATCTTCGAAACTAGTAACTATATCAAGCAGGAAATAACCCCTTTCATCGCCAGCTTTATAGTGCCGGAGCAAAGGCTGATCAGGCGCTTACCTCATCCCCATCTTCAGAATGGGTAGAAAGCTGGTCATGCTGGATGATCTCGGCATCCTCTTCAGTTGGTCCATTGCCCACCCGGATCCCACCGAAGTTGTGAGTTCCCTAAAATGTGAACAAAGAAAGAGCAGAGTGTTGCTGTGGTTCAGTGAGACACTTGCGGGGGGGAAAATCAGAGAATGCATTTTGTACACCTCCAGAAAGCAGCAGCAGCTCAAAGAAAACCACATATTAAATGTTAAGAGTCAAGGCACAGACGTGTTTCACAAATGGAGTAGACGGCTCTTCCTGATTGAGTGGGAAACACGGGCTCATAACTGCTGATTCTGAAAAACAATTAAACCAATTCTGAATTAATTGTGGATGTTATAAAGCTTTACACCAAATAATTTCACCTTTGACCAAGAGCCACATGCTCTCAAAGTGACACACAGGCTGAAACTGACGGGTTTTGTGCAACAGTTTGTTAAAAATTTCCAAGAGCTTTCGGAACTCCTGGAATCTTTGACAGCAAGACAAATACTGCTGTGTATTAAATAAATCACTTACTGGCAAATAGCGAAACAGCATTATCCCACATGCTAACAACAAATCTATATGTTTTCTCCGCACCAATTTGTACCAGGCATGCCCACACCACACATTGCCACGGATGGGGTTGGGATGGGAATCAGTCCTTCTCTTACATGGAAGTTCTGAACTGTGCAAATGATTCCTTTTATAAACATTTGTTTAGACATTCAGTACTTAAAATACAACCGTCCTTTGGTTCCTCCTCAAACATTAAAGGTCATACTTAAAAAACAGATTCTGTTCTAACTTCACTTGGTCTTAACTGATCAAATTAGCAAAGTTAGGGCTGCTTCATTTTGCAAGTTAAAGTGTAATCATTGTTCAGTTACATGAAACCTGCTACAGGCTTCATACTCCAAGTAAACAACACACACCATCAATAATGACACACACCCCATTCAGTGTTTGACAGGTTCTCTTACAATAGCGTTTTCAGGCATTGTAAATGGAATTTAGAAAGATAATGAAAATCTAATTTGCACTTAACCTTATTTTCAGGATTCTAAACTGCCAGCAACCAACCTTTGCCCACTGTAGGCAGATTTCTATTATTTTCATTCAAGAACACCCAATAACATGGAGTAAAATACTTATTGGCAATCTGAGACTCTACTTTATATGTTCAGAACTTTAAAACTTGACCGACCTAAAGGGTGCAAATATAGAATGCAGTGAATATACGATGTGACCTACAACACTAGCATCTGCCCTTAGAGAGTGGTGCATTTAGCACTTATAGGTGTGCATATAGTAAAGGTGATTTTGGAAAATTCCCATAGAACAGGAAAAGTCAATTGGATATGACTTATTTAGGTGCCTCTCTCTAATATAACTAGGACCAGAAGCATTTCAGTGTTGACACACACTAATATTTCGGGGGGATGGAATGTAAACAATGTGGCTTTTAAATTCAAAACATTATAATTTAAGGATGACTATGAAAAACAAAGAAGATCAAACTTAGTGTCCTCCATCTCTGCTTTCATAGTTCATCAGGATTCTGGTGATACGGAGCAACAGTCTAGCATGCTTGCTTTTCTCACATTAATGCATTGATTATTAGTATAATGCATTTATAAACAACAGACTGGTTTTCAAAGCCTTGTTTTTGTTTATTGTCAGGCCAGGCGTCAAACTTGGAACAGATTTATTTAATTCTTGTCAGATTACCTCCAAATACACTCCAGACATCTTACTTTAATAAAAACAGAAAACAGAATACAGAAAAAAGTGACACACATTAAGATAGTAAGAAGTATACTTCTAGGTAAGAGCGAAAAGGCTTGTGTTTGGATTCTGTTTTTGAAACTGGTATCAAAGTGGACCAAAACTGAGTGTTAGGTGGTGTTCTGCTAGTCACATTTCTAGGCACTGGAGATTTGTGGTCATGAGTTATTTCATCAAACACATGATTAGCATACAGCTTTTTCTCATGCACTTGGCTAATGTATATTCTCTTTGGACTGGTGTCAATTGCTTTTGCTCAGCTCATATCAATAGAGCCATGACATTTTCCATCACATGGGGATCTGGCCCTCCACTGTGCATTTGACAGGATTGCGTTAGAAGAGGTGTGGAAATAGCCTCATTCACAGCTGGCCTTTTTACACACTTAATACATTTGATGGATCACACACACAAACACACACACACACACACACACAAATGCCATTTGCCAGATGTTTCTCAACACTCCTGAAAGATTTTTGCAAGGCTATTATTAAAGATTTGTTATGGAAATGTTTAATATCCAAATATTAAACCTGATTTTCAGTTGATCACATAGTACAAGACTGAATGCAAAATCCAATTCAGATCATTTATTTGCATGATTCAGTCTCTTTGGAGAAAGAGGCCACATTTCATGTGTGTGACAACAACTTGAAATATGTCCTTCTGGTGAAGCAAGCCATGAAGGCTGCTCCACTCACTAGCTGGCAGTGGACTCTGGCCATGGATGGTAGTTAATAGATTTACACACAGCTCTGTTTGGCACACAGCCATTTCACGGGAACGTCGGGTTCTGCAAGTCCCCATAAAGAAGCAGACACAAAAATCCATTAACTGTTGATGTGAAGCCACAGGGTTAGTGCTGCTGAGAGGGCCACACATACGTATGACTTTTTGGAGTATGGAATGTAAACAGAAAGGTTTCAAACAGAAGAGGTCAAATCTAGTTTATAAAAACAAATATGCAAGAACGTAAAAACAAGGGGATTTCATCTTGGAGGTCTGAAGACAAGGCATTCTTGTGAGCTAGGATCTCCCCAGCACTTTCCAGAGAAGCGTCTTTGCATTACAGGGTCACTTAGTTATTCTCTTTCATTTGTGTGTATGGCTATTTAGGAATGCATCACAATGATATTGAGGGTTCTGGAATTTATCTTGCTGAGACAGGGACTGCTTCACCACAGGGGGATCTCGTTCACCACTTAGGAAGTGCAGATACGTATAAAATATTCCAGAGGTTATGGAGTGTAATTCCGACTCCCCATCTTTAAATCCGTCACGTGATTTTAAAGCCACTCACTGTTGCAGCCGCTGCTGCCTCTAGTGCCTGCGCGTTCTGGACTGTGCTGACTTGGCCCTCCATGGGTTGCCCTTCCTGATAGTGAATGGAAGAAAGAAGGGGAAAGAGGAAGAAAAACAAAAGAGAAAGGGAGACGAATGGAGGGGACATGGGAGGATGAAAGATGGTCAGAGAAGGGAGAGGGAGTGTCTTTAACTGAACTGTACTTTGACGGACTGTAACATCCTAACAGTTGTCTGCCGTACATGCAAGGAGAATTTTCAAGTAGCCTCAGTGCATGTATGCCAGGTTCCTACATTTTATCGATATATTTAAGTACAGTTGCATAGCCACAGAAGATAAAAAGATATCCTAAGAGATAAAGCTCCCACATTCACAAGCAAAGATGAGTCTCCTTTTTAGATCCAAACTCCTTTAATCAGATTGATGACATTACTGTCGACCAATTCACTGTTAATTACATCTCTGCTTCTGCACTTTGGCCATCAAGGAAAGGCACAGAAACAAGTTCAATAATGGATGGCTTCTGTGCTCCTATATGGGCTGACAGTACCCAAGCGGGATGTATTTATTTTACAATAGTATCTACACACAGGTTTTCTAATGCAGAATCAGAGCTAGATCCAGATCTTAGAGGCAAGCAGGCATCACCTCGTGTCCGGTAAAACCCTCTTGTCTTACACACGCAAAGGGGTTTCAGAGGTCATGCCCCAATGTGAACCTATGTATCCAAGATCAAGATAGAGCCTACAGCTTTTGAACTACTAATAGTTGTAATCAGAAATACCAAAAACAGTCACCCACCAAATGCTTTCTCCTTAAATATTGATGGCGAAGGACCAAGGGTTTAACTACCAGCATCCATGGCACACACAGCAGCGCAACAACCACCAGGAAGCACTGAAGCCCTATCTGTGGAAAAAACAGAGACACGGTACAAGGTGATGCAGTGAATGTTCCATTCCTGCTAAGGTACTTTACAGAACAGGTCTCATGCACATTGCAACTTTCAACTGTGAATAACTCCATAAACAAGTGTTTCCCTGGTACACAGATCCTTCAGATCCTGTTATAATTATCGCTTCCCAAACCAGCAGACTGAACTGTTCTTATTGTTTGTCTGAAGCTGCATCACCTCAGGCTGTGTTCACATCAGACTGTAACCCCTAAGCAAGGGAGGTGTGGTCATCACTCGGGTTAGAGACCTCTAAGTGGATTTGCAGGCAAAGGCCGTTTGGCAGGTGGCACTCTCTTGAGTCTGTCCTGGACTAGTGTCTTAGCACAGAGTTAGATGGCACTATGCTACTGAAGTCCTAACCACTTCTGGTTCCTAAAGAACCCATGGTACTTTGTGACAAATAGGATAGGATATTTGGTGTCTTGATCATGCTCAAGATCTGATAGTTACTTTCAGGAAGACCTGGATTCTTCCTGGAGAAGTTACTCTTTGCTTCCCTTCTTGAGGACTGTGTGTAATGTTTTAGTTCAAAACTGTTTGTTTTCACTCCCAGGGTAGGAACACAATTGCCACAAAAAGAGCCTCTCTAACACCTCAGGATGCTTCAGGATAAAGTGTGCTACCCTAAATCACTAGGTTCTTGTTTCATGTTTTATTTCCTCTGCAGTAGTTAAACTCTTTGGAGTGAAAGCCTCTCTCTCATATTACAAACGATCATTCACCCTGTATCATTGTAGTGAGACCACATACCTGTCCTTTATAAAGCATCTTGATACTGGGATCGGCATAGGAGAAAAGAAACATGTTGATAAAATGGATTAGAAGGCTTGGTGCATCCTTTGAAGTGTGAGCATCATAGGCCGACCACTTGTAGAAAATTAGTATAATAAGGTAGCCAAACAATGACGACATGAAAATCATTTCAGGAATAAACCCAAGATAGATGTTCAGTGGTTTCTTGAAATAGCTACAGAGAAAGAATTAGAGAGTTTGACATATGTTAGAGCATCACCACATTTGACTGCAGTTAGATAAACTTAATGCAGACTAAGACAGTGAAATTAACTTTTAATGGATAATACAAGAGGAAGAGTCTTAAAACAAATGAATCTTGAGTTTCTGCATTTCTAACCATCTTCAGAGCTAAATTTTTGATAAGAAATATTTGATATGCAAATATAGTCTCACAGGAGGAGACATATCCATAATGAAATGTTTCCTGACTAATGAAATAACTCATGTGGAATTCTCTCCATTTTAAAACCTGCTGCAAGATCCACAGTCTTAAAGGCGTAAGGAGTTAGATGAGAAAACCTAAGCATCTAATCTCATCCCGATAAATCTAATACAGACATTCTGCACTAATAGAAGTGTATTGTCCTAGTAAAAACAGAACACAGAGCACTCACATGTGGTTGAGAAGGCTCAGTGTGACACCAAAAAGCATGTGGATGATGCCAAGAATCACAGACATCTTCATCTTAAAGGAGTTGAGGAAGTTCAGCTTGTTGCTGGCAATATTCCAAATCTGTCACAAACAACATGGATTCAATCCGAATTAATGAGCGAAAGGAAGACAGATGAACCAAAGAAGCATTTACTTATGTTAAACTGCACAGCACAAGATAGCTAACCAGGAACAGAAAATAGGCACAGACAAACACTATACATTTTACAAATACATTTTAAAATAAAACATTCAATCATCTGTTGTTTCTTCACTTACCAGCCAACCTCAAATTCAGGGACTGTGGTTTCCCTTGTAACAGCTGATCTTATCAGCACCTAAGCAGAGCAAGGTCTGAGCCTTGCTCACTTTCAAGGTGGCCAGCTGTGGCAGGAGAAAAACTGAGAACTCCAATCTGTGACGTTGCCTGAGAAAGAATCTTGCAGTTCCCTTTTTGAATACAGTTCTGGCCCCTAACACCAGCATACCCCTCTAACGTCAAATGCAGGATCAGTTCAAATGCAAAGAAATTCTTAAGGGCAGTTTTCTGAATCCAGGTAGCTTATAAAGAGATAAGTCAAATGGTGTTACCTGGAAATACACATTTCCAAGGCACGTGGGTGGCTTTTAGCAGAAGAAGAGACAACAAGTTTACTAGGAAATGCATGACAGGTTCTCAAGCCTAATGCCAAACCTAACTCCAGTGCTGTGGGATACTGCAGCCCTAAATAGCTAAAGGGGGTCAACGAAAGAGACCTTCAGAACTCCTACTGGTCACCATTTCAGTACCCAGAAGCCATCACACTAATAGGTGACATATTAGAGATAAGTAATGGAACCCACTTCACCGTCCATCCCAGTGTTTTCTGCAACAGTTACTGCCCCGAGTTTGCTAAGAGAACACATACACCTTTAGCTTTTTTAAACCATGCTCCAGAAAGTTACAGAAGCCAGAAAAGTGTCTAAGGCCACGTGTATCAGAAGGAAAAACTCTTACCGGGTCGATGCCAAACGGATACGGTCCACTAAAGACCCCTGCCACGGCAGGATTCAGCTGCAGGACAGGAGTGTTCTGAAGCAACTCTTCTCTGTTTGGGTTCAAATAGATATAAAGCTTTACAAACTGTAAAAATTGTACTCAACAAAAAATGAGAACACAGAACACCAGCTTCCTCCTGATCCGTGAAGGGGAAGTGCATCTCAGTACAATGAATGGGAGCATTAGTTATCCTTGTGCCACTTGGGAACCTGCCTAACGAACCAACGTTTCAGCCTCCACATGCAGTTCAACGCCCATGTGAGACTTAGGGCAGGACCTTCCTGCCTGAATCTGAATAACTAGGCTCTTTGACAAGACAGCTAAATAACTATTTTGGGTAGAAGGGGATCACCAGTGAAATGCACACATAGGAGGAAGGGAGGAAAACTACAGGCAATTTGCTTCTTTCCATGCATTTTAATAGTGCGTCTAAGGCTCTGTTGGGGGAGCTAGACCAGGAAGAGCCAACTGACACCCAGTTTATCCAAAGGCCATTTTCACTTAAACATCTCCAGCTCTTTGTATTTCTTTTACACAGCACATGGCTTCGCTCCCCCCCAAGAAACGTTTCCTAAAGAAAGAACACTGCTGACGTTCCTGCCATGCATACATTCCTATGCAATTACAAACCCTGAAAAACAGATTCAGGAACTCAGCCCTATGGTTTTACTTCTCAAGCACCTAATTACTTACGTCCAGTTGCCTTTCGAGAACATCGGCCGGACGCTCCACGATGAGCCAAACATATTAAGTGCTTTGGAGAAGCAGTCATTGTAGATAAGGCCGGTGTACATGGAGAACACTCCCATTAGCAGAATGATGTACCGACCAGTAAAAATGGTATTGAACATCTGTTTAATAAAAGAGTCAGTGAGGACAAGCACACACAAAAACAGAGGCTGAAACCACCCAATTCCAGGGCCCAGGCTGCCAGTCCTGGACTAAAGCCACTGAGCCTTCGCCATTCTATGGCAAGAATTAAGGATGCAGGGGTTACAACCACAAGGACGACGCAAACTGAGCCCGGAGGACAGATGGCCAGCCTACCAGAATGGATTAGGTGGGACTGTCTCACCTTCCAGCTCAGGGGCTGTACAGAAAATATCACATTTGATGAAATTTCTTAACATTTCAGTGTGAACAGGTGCCGGGGAGATAGTCAGAGCCTGGGCAGGTGCTGTAACAGGTTCCCCCATGTGTTTCAGTCCTCACAGATCTGTTCATCAACCCAAGACCTAAGCGAGCACGACCAACTTCACCAAGTTATGGGAATGTTTAGGACAGTGGGCCGTGAGTGAGAACACATCTGATTGCAGCTTAGTCTCTGCTTTACAACCACCTGTCATGGGAACTGGCACCCCCAGTGGTGAAAACCTCACAGCTTAACCATCAAACCATGGTCTGTCTGAATCATGGTTTCAGACACTTACATGCAAACCAAAGGAATCCCCACAATTCTGAGAAAGGACATTACTCATCATCTTGTGGTCTATGGACTTTTGTTTGCTATTAGTTTGTTCATGTTCTTGACAAACTGGACGTGAAAAAAAATAATTGTACGAATGGCAGTTGGGGAGGGACGGGGGGGAAGAAGATCAATTTAGGTCTCTTTGCTTTAATACAAAACTGAGCTTGACCTAGCTCTTTACCTCATTGTCATTCTTCTGTGACAGAATGCGACTTTCCCTAACCACCATCCACACGGCAATTAACGTCATCAGGATTCCGTGACCAAAGTCTCCAAACATCACAGCAAACAGGAATGGGAAAGTGATAATTGTGTACGGAGCTAGAAGGGAGGGGAAAACAGACCAGACATCTCTCTGTTTGGCTCTCTGGTTCCACTTATTCCATTAGCAATACAATTCATATATTCATTCCCATCTTCCAAACAGGATCAACCTCCACTGGAGATACTGGAAGAAACTACATCACCATCATGGGACTTATAAAAGCAGCTCTGTTCATGTGTGGAAAGAAGCTTCCGGCAACAATTAACTAAATTGAAAAGGAAAGACATTTATATCCTCTCTGATGCTGGCAATTGCTAGCCAATCTCCCATCCTCCTCAAGTCTCCGATCTGTGCCCATGCTGACTGCTTCTTCTTTCCCAACACATCCATGATATTTCACCTTAATCATCTTCCCTGTGGAATCCGTGGATACCCCACCATCAAGACACTGAGAAGTAGTGAGACTGAAGACAGGCTCTAGAAAACCCATCTGGAACAACTGTGCACTGATCACTAGTCTGGGCTGCGCAAGAGAGAGACTGCACTATGTGTGACCTCAATCATCTCTGCCTCTCTCAACGGTAAGAAACGCTTTTCTCTAGTCTCTGGTCCAATTGGTTCCCAGATGACCTGACTGCAAGGTCTCATTTTTACTTCTTTAAACCTGGCACATTAACAAGTATCCTCAGTTGCTAGAAACAACTACTTGTGCTACTTCTAGGAGATCATGGAAACAGACTGAAATTGCCACCTTCACACAAGCCTGCAGCAGCTTGATGGGATGCAGTCGCTCAAGTACCCGGAAGCTACAAGGTACTAAACCTTTTAATCTAAACACAAATATGACTACAAGGGGACAGGAGAAATTAAGTCATTCACACCTTTAATTTATAAAATATGACAGATTGCTCTTTTGGAGTACATCTACCTACCAGGAGTGCAAATTTAGAGTTATTAAAACTTGATTTTTTTTAAAATGTTCCAACGAGCCCTATCAGCTAGTCAAAAAGGTCAAGCACCTCTTGATACTCGATCATGTCTCTGATGGTTAGATGCAGGTTTGATGGTAAAAGCAGGTTAGACAAACACCTGTCAGGGATAGTCTAGATAATGCTTAGTCCTGCCATGAGTGCAGGGGACTGGACCAGATGACCTCTCGAGGTCCCTTCCAGTCCTACGATTCTATGACCTATTTCTACCTGCTGTTATATTCTGATCTGCTAAATCCACACCTGCCTTGAGTCTGGATTTTGCGGCCCAGTACTCTTGTAAAGTGGCCTGCCTGCATAAAGCAGACTACCATCATGACAATTTAGCCCGAAATCAAAGTTTTCTGATAAGACTGATCTCTCAGAGCACTTCTGCATTTGCCACTCCAGGAAATGCATTTTACACTCATCCTTGCTTTGAACTCTACCTCTCGGTTTAGTGCCCAGAAAATAGCGCTTTGCTGGCAAGAGGTTATCATTAAGACAATTTTGAGCGTAATGGGGTAGATTCTGCATTAACGTACAGATGATTGGGCCTATACATTTCCAGAAATAGCCAGCAATAACGTTGGTTTTACAATTCACAGTAACAGAGGCCACGCTTGCTCGGATAGCTGAGTCAATCCTGTGCAAGGGCTTTGCATATCAGGAGAGAGACCAGGCCACCCAGTCACCAGATCAGAGGGATGAACAGGCAGATTGCGTGTTTACCTGGATTTATCTCCCGGTAAGTTCCAATGCCATATGCGTCTACTATATTCTGAAAGCCAGAAGTGAACTTGTTGGTTTTGTTGTAAGTTGGCGGGGTCTGATTGGTTTGCATCCTATTCAGGATGGATGGAACGGTGGATCCGCTGTGCTCCTGTATTAAAAACAAACAGAAACTGAGGTTAGCGGTGACTCCTTCCCTAGACAAGCCAAGTACAGAGGGGCAGGCTTACTTCGCATTGGCATCAGGAAAGCTGCAGGGAACTTGCATGTTTGTGGTCCACTTGCACAATGCAGGAACACACTGCAGCCTTAGGAAAAAGTTCCCCCTGCCTTTGTGACCCCCCGTGTGCCCCCCCCTCCAATATTCTCCCCCATTCCGATTTCTCCTGTCTGGGACATAAGTCACAGGCATTAACATTTAGGAACCGTACTGGGAGGATGGGCAGCACTGAGGTGGGGGCATATGCAGGACTCTATTAATGATTCCCATCAACTAGTTCTTTGATCGATAGCCAATTACAGAGGTGGCTGCGGCTGCTGGCTCTGCTAACCAGATGCCAGGGACTCTGCGTGTTCCCCATTCTGATTTTCCAATTTTCCCCCAAACCAATAAGGTTCTCTCCCCTGATGCCTAGAACATTGCCTGACATTTTGGAATTGATTGGAAGGACAGTCAAAAGTGATTGCATTGCAGAGCGACAGAAATGCTGTAAGAATGGAGCTTGGCCAGACAGGTCTGTAGGCGAGTAAGTGTGGTACTGTGCCTGACACGCCACTAGTCACGTCTCATCAGCTGGGAGTCGAGCACCCAGGTCCCAGGTTTCACCACTCAGACATGGCACCTACACAGCATCTGACTTGCTTAAGAGGCAGATCTGACGGACGAGCCATTATTTGAGGCTCAGTGCCTGCTGCTAAGAAGCATAAAAGCTTCACTTCAAAACTGTGTCTGAGGTAACAATAGAAAAGCATGTCGACATTGGAAAACGATTTTGCGCAGAGGGTGTGTTCCTGTTTGATCATGAATCGAGGCAAGTACCCTAGTCATATGAGGAGAGAATATACAGGAATCTAGATTAAAGATCTTGTTTGATTTTATGGTTGAAGGACTTGAGATCAAAGAAAGATGGTGTGAGTACGGGGGAAGGATTCAGAACGAGGGGAGCCAATCATCCAGGGCCTGACCCTCAAGGAGTTCAGAACCCAAAAGCATGTTCGGGTTTTGCAGGAGCGAGACCTATAGGTCAGGAAGTAGCTCGGAAACTGGTGGGTTTCATAAAAATGCCGACGACAGGAATCGTATTTCACTGGTGGACTTTGCGTCTCTGAGGAGGGATGTGTCTCCTGTGCCAGCTGCCAGGTTCCCTCCAAGCATTTCTGGAGGGCAGTTGGTGGGTGGGCTCCTCATTGGTTGGGCTTGCCAACTTGCAGAGCTCTAGTCACCTCTGTCCAATGAGCAGAGACAACCCAAGCTGCAAGCAGATCAGCAGGCTTGCCCAAGCAAAGGAAAAGGCGCAGATATTGTTCAGGATAAGTTATCTCCATGTTTTGACTCTATGGCATTACATGCCCATGCCCAAGCAAGCAACCAACTCTGAAGCATCCCCAATGTTTGTTCAGTCCATCTCTCCAACAGCCAGCATTTTCTGGAGCTCTGGGGGAGTGCTTTTCTGGTAACCATAGTTGCTACAGATTAAAAGAAGTATCCTCTATGAAGGTTGCCATTTTTATATACAGCCTAAGGGATGCCTTTCAAAACTCCACAGTCCAATCGGGCTCCTCAGGTGCAATGATTCGTCAGGGTTCAGCTGGCTGAAGGAGGCTGGTCTGTTGAGACTTGCATGGGAGGTAAGTGACAACTGCTGCAGTTCGAAAGCGAGGAGATACTCACAGTGCCTCTTCTGAGAGCAAACTGGATGGAATCGAGGTCAGCGACAGGGCACCAGACTTCAGCAATCAAACACTTCTGGGTCACGTCAATGTTACACAGGTTCAGGGTATGGTAGATAGCCTTCATCTTCCGCACTTTGATGAACCAGACACGGATAGTTTTAGCAGCTGCCTGCAGGACCCGCTGGCGATGATCCTCCGTTTGGTTCAGCACCTTGCATGGAAAAGTGGGACAAAGACAGCAATGAGGGATTCGGTTGCAATTTGTAGCACACAGTAGGGTACAACACAATAGTGGCTAGTGGCCAGGGCATATGGACAAGCCTGAGAGCCCAACGCCCCCTCACTGCTCCATGTTTGGAACATGCTCTCTAGTCTCCTCACATGCACCCTAGGTTAGCCAAAAGATACTCCTGGAAAGAAACATACAAAACAGCTCTAGGCCATTTTCCTCCCGCCCCACCTCACCCCCAGCAGTGAATTCCAAGGGAAAAAGGGAGTTTTCAGATTCCCAAGTGGAGATTTTTTTCTCCACCCAGCTTTAACTGACATTTGCTTTAGAAGCGGCAGAGAAATGACTGCGTGCTGTGCACTGCAAGAGCTCCACCTTGGGTGGTAGGGGACGCAGGGAGCTTATGTTTAAAGGGTCAGAATTCATTCACATTTGGCTCTCAAAACTGGCTGAGCAGAGGAAAAAAGAGAGAGAAAGCGCGAGTTCTTTGGCGGGGTCTGACTGGAATGTGCCTCCAGATCCGTCCAAGACCATTTCAGAGACTGTAAAGCCTCTCGAGTTCAAGTGGAAATGGCAGTATGTGACAAAGTGATCATGTGCAGCTTGGAACTCGGTTGCTCCTGCATTCTCGGCCATTTTCTGATTGCTAAGCAACTGGTCTCAGCAGCTTCATGCTAGGAGAGTTGCATCTGTAAAAGCAGGGCCCTGCCATCAACGCCTTTCATTGTAGTTTTGCATCTGATTCCTCTCTTGACATTTTATTTCCATAAATCTCTCTCCATTAAATCCCCTTCAATCTTCCTGATGTGCATCTTGCTTCCCTTTCCCTAGATTTAGCGGTGACAGAGCTGGCACCAGGCAGCTTACAGGTTGCTGATTCAGCTCTCTGCTAACCACTTGTTTATTCATTGCTTTCACTGACCCCCAGAGCTGCAGCACAAGAGAACAGTTTTTAATACGGCAGATCTCCAGGACACCGTGCTGTGAAAGTACGCAGACAGGCAGAAAACCTCTGGCAGCATGAACTAATGCTGGCCTTTTAATCAATCCGTGAACACAGATTTGACCATTTTCATCTACAAATATCAGAGGGGGAGCCGTGTTTGTTGCTTTTTACAGATCCAGACTAAGAGTCCCGTGGCACCTTATAGACTAACAGACGTATTGGAGCATAAGCTTTTGTGGGTGAATCCCCACTTCGTCAGACGCTTACGCTCCAATACGTCTGTTAGTCTATAAGAGGCCACAGGACTCTGTTGTTTTTTTCGTCTACAAAGACCCTAAAGAAGAGAGCCTCAGACCATCATGCTTCTAGCTTTGAAGACATACACTCCTCTCTTACTCCCTTGCTTGCTAGTGTGAATTTCGATACCAATGCTAGTATTTACACAGACCGTTATTCACTCAGCCTCCTGAAAAAATTAACCCTCCCTAACTAGGAAGCTGAATGGAACCAAGAAGAGAAACAAAATTAGTCTCGGATCTTGCAATTGTTTAATCTCATAGCAGGTTCTCCATCTCGTTTAACTGGGAACTGTTAGCACAAGCCATATCTACATCTCGCCTGGCCAATTAGTCTCAGACAAATGGGAGCCACCCAGCACTCCGTAGGCTAACGCAGCAGCATTACCATTTGAAGATCATCAATCCTGGTATTGACTCCAGAAGCCATTTCCTTCCTCTCCTGCGGTGTCTCTGGGCAAGGGTAGAGGGAGGCACGGAACCTGAATCGTTTAAGACAAAAAGCCAAATTGATACATCCTGCTCAGTAAAGGAGTGTTTTAAGATAATGGGCTTTGCCAGTGAAAATGTCTAGCCGTCATTCACCAAGGCAGACGGCTACAACACAAATTTGCTCAAGGCCAAACCATTATCTGACCACACTGGCTTCTATATCCAAGTCAAGCCCTTGACATTAACATAGTACATTTTGCAGGTGTAAAATTCATTCTGAGCAAGAGAAAAAACAACAAAACTGAGAAAAAATATGTGGAGAACTTAGGCAACAAAACAAGTCTCAACAGCACCTTTAACTAGTAATCAATGGTGCATTCGACTGACCGCTATTACACCAATGTAACTGCCCTTCAGAAGCCCTAGCTTCCACCAATAGGAAATCTTTCATGTTTCTGATGAGAAGCACGAGTTCATTTCCGTATGTGATAACTTGATCGCTTTCACATTTTTTCCTATAACAGCAAAAGCAATTCATCCATTTTATGGATTAAAAACTTGGGGTGGCTAATTTGGTTGTCCAACAAACTTCAGTAACACATATCATGTGCTGATGTTTATTAGGTTTACTATGTCAAGGTCAACTAAGGATTTCTATTATGCTATTCTTTGCATCATCCTAGATTTTCTGATTAATACAGGCTTAAGGAACTGTTAAAGTACATATTAAGACACTCCATTTGTTTTTCAAGATGCATTACAAATATAATATATGAACAACCTGATTTTCAGAAGTGCTGAGCACAGCTGAAAAATCAAGCCGCAAGTGTTTGTAAGTCTGATTTCTTCTTACCCTTCACAGATTTTCTTGACTCTATTTTTTAGCTGATCACCTTGGAAAAAAATAATAAACACAGACTTGTGCACGTAGTCTCCCTAGAACAGACAAACACAGATGCAGTGTGAGACCCGAGTACTATACAGGAACTAGTTATTGTAGCAAATTCCCACACAGCTCTGTATTTTCCCTGTTGCATGTACGAATATACAGGAAATTATAGGTGCGCGCTGAGTCAAGAACATACCCTAACACGGTCACAAAAAACTCACTTTGAAAGGAACTCTCTCTTAGCCTTGGTCTACACTGGGGGGGGAGGGGGGGGGAAGATAAATCTAAGTTACGCAACTTCAGCTATGTGAATAACGTAGCTGAAGTCGATGTACTTAGACCTACTCACCGCGGTGTGCTCGCTGCGGTGAGTCGCCTGCTGCCGCTCCCCCATCGACTCTGCCTGCGCCTCTCGTGGCGGTGGAGTGAGTACAGGAGTCGACGGGAGAGCGCTTGGGGTCGATTTAGCATGTCTAGACTAGACGCGATAAATCGACCCCCGCTGGATCAATCGCTGCCCGCTGATCCGGCAGGTAGTATAGACATACCCTTAGTTTAATGGTCTCTCTGTACTAGAGCTAAGTGCTCTAAATGCTCTATTTGCTTATCAGAGCTATACAATCTGTGCAAGAATAAATTGAAAAATCATGGGGAAAATCAGAAGTTTTTATTGTTTAACATTTGGCTGCACTTAGGGTTAGGTGTGTATCACTATCTCTTCCAGCCAGCCCCACTCTGACTTAAAGCAGCAAGAAAAGAATGAATGGAAATAAGGTGATGTATGTGGTATATTTAATTACAAGAATGCCCAGGGCCTAAAAACCTGGAATTCCCCAGGGAGGTTCACAGCACATTCTTTGGGCAGCTGTTTGGATTTAGATATTAACAAATGCAGGAAAGGGGAGTTAGATAAGATGTTGTTCTACCTTACATAGGAAATTTAGCTTCATGTTTCTGAGAATAATTACACTAGATGTAACCTCATTGTCCAACACTTCCTTAAATTAAAAATATAGTCCCTCTCCGGCAGACAGCTGGTATTCAGTTCAGCAATCAGCAGAGCAACACAGCAACCAAATTCATCGGGAAAATAGGACATAACTGAATGATGTTTCCAGTCTTTATTTCACTGCAGCCCACAGTCCTTCTTTTGCTAATTCTTAACTGAAGCAGCTATGGAGCTGCAGAGTTTCCAATGTTTGGGTACTATACATCAGTGCATGCCATTAACAACATCAAATAAGCATCCTTCCTAGTCAGAATGTTTACCATTTAAATTGTAAGGAAGGCCAACAGAACTAAGAGCTACTAAAAGACCTTGAAGCTCACATTTGGTGACCATCTTTAAAAGATTAAAAGGAAAGATTTTTTTAAAATAGTGCAAAAAAGACTCCAAATGAGCAACAGATTCTACACAGAGACTTCCAAACTGGTCACCACTACCACCCAAACAAGGCAAGAGGTGCTCAGCCTCCGTTGCAGAGAGGAATAATACTTACACAGTCCTGTAGATGGGCATGGCACTTTAGTAAAGGAGTCCCTATCCCAAAAAGGTTACAAGTGAAGGCCCTGATCCTGCAACTCTAGCCCTAAGACAAGAGGGGATGACTAACACAGGGAGCAGGCAGGGAGGACCGTAGTGAAGACGGTGCAGTCATGCACGTCTCAAGAACATGCAACATCAGTGAACATGACAACTCTGAACTCAGGCTGTTTCAGGGAGAACCCGCTTCTCAGATACAAATGCCTTTGTTATTTCCGGACCTGATCCTGCAATCAACTCCATGCACGTAGATAGGGTGAAGAGGCCCACCCTCACAGAGCTCATTGCAGAATCATGGCCCAAGTCTGACTGTACATTTGTTACTCATTTGGGATCTCACAGTATTTTGCCTCCATGAAAAGCAATTCATTTTACCGTCACAGGATCCTCCAGAGGGATTTCGATTTCAGCCTGACGCAGGAACACGTTTCCTCGACACACTCGCCACAACATGCGCTCAAAGGTAGGGATTCGCTCACGGTTGATCACGCCGGCCACAAATCTGCATGAGGCAGAAAAACTGTGGATTAGGTTGCTGCCCCTAGTAATGTTTGTAGAGCACAGGCACAAAGAACCTGGAGCTGCAAGAGGTTAACTGGAGGCTAGCTAATAAATCAAGGTTTAAAGCTACAAAATCCAGCTGACTTGTTTTTGGTTAGTTCTATAATCAAAATGGGACGGACAGATAGACGGACGCGGACACACAGGAAACAGCTAGAACATGTCAAAGGCTGTATCCTCCATCCACTTTGAGAGCAAGCCTTACGGTCCGCAGACTAAGTCCCGTACTTACAAAGTACAAAGCACTTTACAGTTTGAATGCATTAGTTTCCCCTTCACTCATATGACTTCCATGCCTGTTGCTGTCAGTTTCACGCTGCTCCTGTAACTTCCACGCCAAGGACTGTACAAGCCAGGAAGGCCAGCAACAAGCTACACAGCTTTCAAAGACCATAGGCATTTGCTTTAGAGGAGACCACTGGTGCAAACTCCTAGGTCCAGGTAAAGTGGTATGACAAAAGTGCTTATGGCTTCTACATTTCTGTTTCAAAGGTGACCTGGAATCAACTAATGAAGAGGGATAAAAATAAGTGGCCTTATTGTCAAAGATGCTACGCTCCTATTGACTAATGGAAGCTCTGAATTTTCTGTAAGCTTGAAAATCAGGCCTCAAATGCTTACGGAATAGGCTAGCTCTAGGTTTCTGTGCTGGTATGCAAGACACCAGAGAATGACTTCCTCTTTCAGCTACTTTCTCCCTGGGCTAGGGGGGGCTGGAAAGTTAGCAGATGCGGGGCGGGGAAGGATGGAGACCCTTACTAGGTGATTGTGGATTGACACTGATAGGGTGGAGGTCCTCGGGGCTGTGTTTGAAGTCCTCTGGATTCCAGATGGGAGAGAACAATTAAGGCAAACAGACAAAACAGAAAGCAGAAAAGTTGCTGTTACCCAAGTCGCAGAGGGGCAGCTCTTCCGATCTCACTTGGCTCCAGGAGCGAAGACGATTCCTCCAGCAGGTCTGGATCCGCCATCTGCTGATGATGCAATTCAGCCTGAATTCACAAATCAATTAATATCTAATGAAACTAGTTAGTGGCATGCAGGGAACGAGGAACCAGGAGACAGTTTCCGGGGGGGGGAGAGGGGGGGGAATACCCCCAAAGGACGCCAAAAAAAGAAAATGAAATAACAGAGACCAAGGGTCACACAAGGGAGGGGGAAAAACAAGAGGTAAGCAGAATGGCTCAGCAAAGCTTGTGGGGAAAAGGGTCGGGAGATTGCAAAAGAAAAACAAGATGCTTGTGGGATATATAATTCTGCAGATGGGTGGAAGTTCAATTTTACCCAAAGTTATGTTCCCAAAAATGTTCTTAACTTTTTGAATATGGTGTAGAGTGACCCAACATGCTTCCATCACTACTTTCTGAACTTAGGGGAAATGGATGAAGAGAGGTACTGATAAATATTCATGTCTGTACCGTGCTGCTGCTGCGTTTCTGTGCATTGTCTATATATTTACCAGCGGCCACGGGCATTGCAAACATGGGTTGCCTTTTGAAGGGGAACAGCCGTCAGAATCCTTTCACTCTCTCAAATTCAGTCCACTCTGGCCAGATTCAGAAGAATGCTGCCCAGGCAAGATTTCTGTAGTAGGTCCAGTTGATTAAACCAGAAGGAAAGTCTGCACTTCTGCTGCACCCAAGGCAGCACGCTTTACAGAACGTTAAACATGACACTATCCCACGGAGGAGCACACGTAGTATCCTTTCATTCTAAAGCTGGGTGAGCTTAGCCTAGTCCCTTCACCTCTCAATGCGAAGTCAATGGCAGAGCCAGTAATAAAACCGGAGAGTCCCGGCTGCTAGATGTCCTGTCTATCCAGGACTCTGACTCTCCCTCCGTACGTGCACAATGCCTATAACTTGAAGAATGCATTTTTGAGAGTGAATACCCTTTTTTTCCCCCTTGTAAGATATTCAGCACCTAGATAAATATATATGGCAGTGATGTACATAGACCCAATACCACCAACTATGCCAGTGCCACCAATTCAAACAAGCACATGACTTGACTTGCTGGTCATCATGGAAAGGGCCACCCAAATACAGGAGAACCTGCTTCAACACAGGAAAGAAAATTCACTGACCGCACACCCCGAGTTGTCACCTACCATTCCACAATGGAAGCCATGTGGTGTATCATCAAACAACTACAATCCACACCTGAGGGGGGTCACATCTGAAAAGAAATCTTTCCTGACTCCCTCTTCTTGTCTTTGAATAACCCCTCAACTTCACCATGCTCATCATCAGAAGCAAGCTCCCCAGAAACCAAGACACACTCAAAGCGGCACCAGACCCTATCAGAGTAACAGATACAAAACCTGCAGATGTATCTCCACTGCTACAATGATCAATACCCCCACAACACACCTTTCAAGATTCATGGGTCCTAGACATGCAGTGTACCTCATCGAGTGCATCTAATGCCCCAACAACAACTATATGGGTGAAGCCAGACAATCGTATGCTCTCAAATTAACTCCCACAGAACAAGGATAGAAGACAATAACACCATATCGCTGGTGGGTGAACACTCTTCACAAACCAGTCACTCCATATCGGATCTTTCAATACTTGTCCTCGAGGGAAACCTGCACAACACCTTCTAAAGGCAAGCCTGGGAACTCAAATTCATAAGTCTGCTAGACACCAAAAACCCAGGGACTTAACGCAGACAATAGTTTTATGGCTCATTACAACAATCTGTAAACACACCACACTTCCTACTGCCCTTAATGGCCCAATTCAAACCCTTTATGCATAACAATCTAATGTCCAACTGCCCGCTTCATTTCAAGTGACCACCTCCAACATTCATGACCCCTTCTGCTTGTCTCACCTTGTATTTAGCTCAGACACTCTGCTTCTTTCCCGAGACCCTGAAGTGCTCTGAATAGCTTGAAAACTTGTACCTTGCAGCACCAGAAGTTGGTCCAGTACAAGATATTACCTCACCTACCTTCTCTCTCTCATATTAAAATGGAAAACTGTAAATTAGTCACAATAAATAGAAAGTAATTTATGGGCTGAAATTCCTGGGAACATAACTTGCAAATATTAGTGATTCAAATTAGGAAGGATGTTAATACCACATCCTCTCACAGAGCATTAACACAATGCATCAGTAGGAACTCTGTCCCAAAATTTCCACCCCTGCAGTTTATAAAATGAAATGGAGAAATTAAGGAACTCTTCTGTGCCAAAAAGGACCAAATGCTACCCTGAGATGTGCACAGGGTTTCCAGTTGATTTCAATGGGTGCTCCCTGCACACACATGAAGGCAGAATTTGTCCCTAAAGATGCAAATTGTGTGTACACTACAGTCTTGTAAAAATGTTATGCAAGTTTACAAGTGCAGGCACAAAATCCAGCTGCCCACATATTGTCATAATGAAAAACCCTGGAAAGATATTTTACTTGCCAATCAAAAAAGGCCACTTGTTCTGGGAGAGAATTTTGCCAGGCTGAGGTACCACACACAAGATACAGCTCAACTGCCTGCTCATGAATACTTAGCTACAGTTTACAAAAAGTAAAAGTAAATGACAAAATTAAGGTAACCATCAGTGTACTTCCAAAGAGTGATAAAGAAATGTTCTCCCTTATAAGCCAATCCATTCCACCATTTTAGGCATTCAATCCAAATAAAAGTAAACTGTGTGGAAACCTTAACGTTTCATAGAGGAACAAGGACCCCAAATCAACACACACACACTAGACTGAATGACTTTAAATTACTTTTTAAAATTAAAATGGCACAATTCCTAGATCTAACAAAATTATGGAAAATAACAATTCTACCAAAGGGGCTTGTATTGCATTTGTTAGTAGATTGCTAGATTTTTGTAAGGTATGTGTTAGACTAGATGAGGCCTGCCTCATTTTTGACACCACATTTTATATTTAAGAGTATTTGTCAAGGCAGAAGGATAGTTTCTTGCTTAAACACATCTGTGGAAACAGCTCTGGTGCTTGGCTATTAGCTAGGCTAGTCAGGGATGCCAGCCTGTGCTTTGGTGTCCCTGAGCCTCTGACTGCCAGATGCTGGGACACAATGACGGGGATGGATCACTTGATAACTGCCCTGTTCTGTTAATCTTGGTAACAAATCCAGCTTCTGGCAGGGACGGTTATTACATGAAAATGTAACTGTAGCAGGACTATTCAGGCTACTGGGAGTTTGTTAAGGAAGGAGAGAGCTGTTCAGACACAATGTAGGAAGATGGAGGACTGGCCATCCCACAAGGTCCTTTCTGATCATAATTTTCACCAGTTTGCAGTAGAGTATCACAGAGCATCAGAACTCCAAAGAGGATTTTATCTTATTCTGAATAACAAACACCCAAGCCTACACTCTCTTATGTATATGACTATATAAATTAGAAAGATGGTGGGAATGACATCAAATAATCATTTAAAGCAACTTTGGAGTATCAGTCTCACAGATTAGGAGTCCCTTAATTTCAAGGTCCAAAATTAGAGATTTAGCCATCTTCCTTCCCTTGATTAGTGAGAAAACCAAACCTTGAATGAGAAACAGCAAGAAACCAGAAATTCTGCTCTGCAAATGCGCTCGACAGGTGTAAGTAGCACACACAATTCAAGCCCCTTCACCTTCATTGTCACAAGAAATGAAAGGGATTCAATTCACCATCTAATTTACTAATCCAGAGCCCAGAGGAGGAGGATAGATGCAAAACAAACTAAAGAAAGCAGATGGTGAGAGGAGTTAGAGGAAAGGGAGACAGGGGACTGCATGCCATTAACCATTACTTTTCCAGTCTTCTTTACGCTTTCATATTCTAGGATGCTTATGGCAAAAGATTCAGAGAAATCTCTCCAGCTCATACTGCTCTTCATAAGCAAAGACAAGAAGACTGAGAAAAGGATCATCATCATCATCAACAATATATATATATATGTATGTGTTATGTAATGGTCAAGAAATGGCTACATTGGAGACGTGTCATTTTGTTCTTTTATGACTAATATTCTATTCATTCTCCCTCCCCCTCTACTGTTTTTCCAGAATGTGCAAAGATTGAGTACAAAGTCATTTCAACTGTGAGCCATTTCTTGTGTAACTAATTACTACGAATAACTGAGAATACACAGACTTTTAGTTACAGATGAAAAAGGTCTTCAAGTGTTGAAGGCACCGTGCAAAGATGGTATTTTCAGTGAAGAAATAAAACCGTGATTAGTGATAATAGCCGGACTGCACAATCTAAAGAGTCTCCAGAAGTCTCTCCAAAGGCCGATACCATCCATTGAGCATAGTCAATGTGTGTGTGGCGTAAAGTTACGTACACTGTAAACAGAAGTAGTTAACCCTAAATGTAAAACATTCAATGGAAAGTAACACAATGAGTATTTATCCTGAGACCGTATTACAGATCTCAATGTGTTATTGCTTTACTGTAATCTACATGCTGCAATGTAACATCTGCTGCTCCAATTGGTTGATAGGAGGGATAAATATTGATATTAATTTGGCCTGGTTGAGGTGGTGAGCCTCATGGGAACACTTGTTACAAATGCCTTTAAAATGGGCAGAATGACCCACGGTTTGTGTTTCAGCATTACATGGATTTTGATCCAATTAAACTGAAATATGATGTTAATATGGTACCTGAAGAAAAGCATTAGCTAGGTGTTCTTTCCTATATCCTGTGTTAGTGTCAGTACCCGGAAAAGAGGTGCATTAGTAATGATTTTATACAACACTAATTGCACTTGCTCTGTGTTTTCTATGTTCAATTAGAACAGGCAGGCAAGAACACTTGTTACTTACTGCAATCAAGCAGTAGATCAGGTTGTCATTGTTTGTCCAAACAGACTCACCAAATGGAATCAGCAACTTGCAAACTGACATTCAACACTTGAAGAGGAGATAATCATACAGTACCCAGCCCGCTGGCCGATCACAGCCAGTAGCACCCATGTTATCAGTCATGATGCATGTGAGAGTCTGGGCAGGACAACCTTAACGGTAACTCATTTGCTCATATGAGAACCATGCCTGCGCCTGAGGAGAATAGTTAGATAAAGTTTTCAGGAGGCCAATTCTGCAGGACTATGCACTTTGTGCCTTTACAATTAGCCGGGCACAAAGCTCTTCAGCGCTCCATGGCCAACTCTGCAATGCATCACATACTGTGCAAAATACTTCCCTCCCCCTCGAAGGTGGTACATGGCCAGTTTCCTCTCCTGAGAGAGAGCTAGACTGTAATGTGCTTATATATGTTTAATAAGACTTAAAGGCATTTTGTAAAGATCACCTGGGCTCTTTATCAGCAAGTTTGAGTTTTGCTTTGCTGCTGTAACCAGGGTGACAGCAGGGCAGCATTTCATTGGTCTGGAGAAAGTGCTTGCAATGCTGCTGTCAAGCACTGGTCAAAATGAACACTAACCCAAAGGCCCAACTGTAGCCCTAAATCAGGGGTTCTCATACTGGGGGTCGGGACCCCTCAGGGGGTCGTGAGGTTATTACATGGGCGGGTCGTGAGCTGTCAGCCTCCACCCCAAACCCTGCTTTGCCTCCAGCATTTATAATGGTGTTAAATATATTTAAAAGTGTGTTTAATGTAGAAGGGGGGGGGGCACCCAGAGGTTTGCGAGGTGAAAGGGGGCACCAGTACAGAACTTTGAGAACCTCTGCTCTAAATGGTAGCACTGTTCCTGAACTTGCCACTGAGCATTTTAGAGCTTGATCAAAACCTCACTACATTTGACTGGAGTCTTGCTATTAACTGCAAAGGGTTTTGGATCAGGCCCATCATGACAAATCTACAGAATCCAAGTTTAATATTCATCCCTCATAACAGAGGATTTCTGGGGTTTACTTACATACTTGCACCAAGCAGAAAAGTGCATATTGGAGGGGGAAAACGGCCTTAGTCTCACAGTGATGCTGTCATCTACTGACCTGCTTAGGTTTTTCAGAAGCCAGGAAACAATGATTTATTTAGAACCTGTCTCCACACAATTAATTCTAAGTTTTTACTGGGAACACACACAGTAAATATAAATAATCAGAAAATGTAAAAGCCATGATTGGCTGTGTGCGCATTGCATGAAAAACTGAAAATGATTTGAGAAAGTTTCTTAAAAACCAAAAAAAGTATAGAAATGAGTCATCCAAAACAGCAACTGAAAAATAACAGTCTTGAGAATAAAAATGGCAATTTGTGACAATAAACCACCAGCTGTTTCAGCGCTAAACCCCCCTGATATTCTGACCTCATCAAAAAACTGCTGAGTTTTGCGCAGTATACATTTTAATTCGGTCAGCTCTAGGAAGTTTCTCTTCAGAGCTTCCTGGTTTGTGTTGATCTCTTTAAGCTCATTTTCAATTTTCTCAAAGTTTGCCTGGGGAAGAAAAGGAGAGGAAAACAAATGTAAAGTAAACCTAAAAATAAATGCTATTTAGCCCTAATGAAGCACACAGTTCAAAGTGTGCTGTGCAAGATCTTTTCTTAACTGCATTCAGGTTACCCATAACTACTAGATGCTGCCTGCATCCTGTCTTCTTCACCATGCATCTTAAAACATTAGCATCAGATTATTATAATGCTACTCTAAATGAAAGGATTAATAATTAGATTCTTTATGGATTGAGGAAGGCTTCTACAAACTCTTCCAACACAGTATAAACTGGTGCAACCTCAGCAATTTAGAGGAGTTGTACAGTAACTCCTCACTTAAAGTCCTCCTGGTTAACATTTCCTTGTTACCTTGTTGATCAATTAGGGAACATGCTCGTTTAAAGTTGTGCAATGCTGCCTTATAACGTTGTTTGGCAGCTGCCTGCTTTGTCCATTGCTTGCAGGAAGAGCAGCCCCTTGCAGCTAGCTGGTGGGGGCTTGGAACCAGGGTGGACTGGCAGCCCCCACCCTCACCCAGCAGGCTATCAATTGCTGGCAGTTCAGCTGTCCCTCCCTCCACTGCCATGTGCTGCTCCTGGGAGCCTCTTGCTTGCTATGCAAGGGAAGAGGAAGAGGGGGGCTAATGTCAGGATGTCCCCCTCCTCCCAGCTCCTGTCCCCTCCCCGTCCCACCCCTTCTCCATATAGAGCAGGGTGGGGACACTGAGAGGGAGGGAGAGAGCTTGCTGCACACAGCTGCTGTCTCAACTTCCTGAGAGTGGCGTCAGCGTACTTAAAGGGGCAATGCGCATCTCTCCCCCCTCCATACACAGGGTGTGTGTGCGTCTCTGTCTGCCATGCTGTCTCCCCTCCCTCCATTCGTGCTGCCTTGTAGAGTGTGAGGCTACATTAACAACAACGGGTTAACCCTTGAGGGCTCAGCCGAATGCTAGTTCATCATTTAGCAGTAAGGCATTCCCTGGGAAATATCCCACCCTCTAACTTCACCACCTCAACCAAGCTTCACAATCACCATCGCTGTGTACAGTATTAAATTGTTTGTTTAAAACGTATACTGTGTGTGTATATATAGTTTTTTGTCTGGTGAAAAAAATTTCCCTGGAACCTAACCCCCTCCTATTTATATTAATTCTTATGGGGAAATTGGATTCGCTTAACATCGTTTCGCTTAAAGTCTCATTTTTCAGGAGAATAACTACAACGTTAAGCGAGGAGTTACTGTACTAGTTTACATGAGCTCTAAATCTGGACCTTCGTTTTTAAAACTAAGTATTCATTTGCATCTTATACATACACACATTGAAGTTACAGCAGACTACGCAAACCCCACAATGCTTATAGGTCGGATCCTCAGCTGGTATAAATCAGAGCAGCTACACTGAAGACAATAGAGCTTTGTTGAATTAAACCAGGGAGGGGATCTGACCCTGTACGTTCTTACTACTAAATTCCAAAGAACTCAGTTATTGAGACTAATTAGCACAACTTCTGCTATCTAGACTGAGATACTAGTTCAGCCTTAATGAAACACTTACCTCTAAATCGATCATGTCACGGGGGAAAGGCACCTCTGGGTTCTCACCGGTGTCCAGGATTGGGATGTTCGCTTTTTTAATCTCCTTCTCAACAAACCCTAAAGACAGAAAACATTTCACGGTGAGAATCACTATGAGAAACAAAAGCATGAAACTGCAACATCAGTCTCTCTGCACCTTCCCCATCATCTCACCTGACCAGCAGCTGCATATCCCGCCCCCACACCCATCCATCCTATCTGTAGCAGAACTCCATCAGAATACAGCTCATGTGGTTGCTTTAAGAGATCCACAAGTTCTCTTCTCCACAGGAAACAAACCTTTCCAAAAGCAGCCTAGCCTACTGGGAAATGAATGGTACCTTACCACGAACACAACACTTAGCTATGGCCCATTATTTCAAACGTTTAGGCTGCTTTCTTCCCTTAAAGCTAGTCTAGAATTAGAGGCATGCATCAAAGTAAAGCAAGGACATACTGAGTTTCCGGTCCATCTCCTCACATCTCCTGACTTCATTAACAAATTTACGCTGGAACACATTCACATCAGGGTTCAACTGCAAACAGAAACACACATTTCCTTAGGAATGTTTAAATGTGAAGGGTCATGATTACTAGTTTATCAGGGTTGTGTGGGGTTTTTTGGCAAGTGGTGGTTTGTTTTTAAAGAATGATGCAAGGAAAGTTTACTGCAGATATGATTGTTGTGCAGCATAACACACTTTACTGATAAGTAACAACTAGGTGGATGTGTGTGCCTGTGGCACAAGTGGACACTGAGATAGCAAAGATGAATTATGACACTTGACCATATAAACAGCAGCCAGGATCTTAATGATCTGATGCACTTTACTGACACAGGAAAGCAGCCACTTACATCACGGAACTGAACCTTCCCAAGCTCTCCTAACTCGCTGACACAACAGTATGCAGCTTCCGACTGGAGGAAAAGCTGGGCCAGGGTCATCTCCTCACTGCGGAAAAGCTCCCCCATGATGAAAGGCAAGTGTCGGTCAAACCAGGAGTGGAATTTTAACCCTAAAATAAAAAGGTTGTAGGGTCTGAGAATGTACAGCAGAGTCTGAATCCCACATTTGTGAAAGGACAATTTGCCTCCTACAGTCAGAGGAGAAAAGGTATAAAACACAGTCCCATGGAATAATTCTACACACTGCTTGTAAATATTTTGACTTAAAAATAATACAAGAGGAAGTGATGATTCTTTCATAAGATGCTCGAGAGGTCAAGTAGCTCTTCCGCACCTTCTGATAAAAGGCTATTTCATAACTTTCTAAGGAAACACCTTAGTGAATCATGATAGATCTTACTCATTGAGCCGTGGTACAAGGGAGGGGAAACCGGTTACGTCACATGGTCTGCAAAGCACCAGGGATAGTTAACACACTACAAACAATTCTTTCTTCAGCAATCTAAGAACTCTGCTCTTCCGGGGCTGTCTCTTTCTGCTCTAAGCCTTGCCCTTAGAGTGCAGCTCTCCGAGGCAACCCAACTCACACGGTATCTAAAGGCCAAAGGCTGCCTATTGAAGTGTCATCCGGGAAGCAGCCGACTTTCAGCTGACAGCATCCCTGAACTGGCAGGGAAGAGTTCTCCCATGAACAGACGAGCATTACCATTACACAACACTAGTGCAGTTCAGGAAATGCAGCACACTGAATATTGGAGTTATAGTGCATCTGTCGGGGTGGAGAACACATTCTTTTGCTCTTCTCTTCATTCGGCTGCTAGATTTTATATTTCCACCCTGCCCACTACTGACTATTTGGAGGTCTGTCAAATTATCATAACAAGCAGGGTAGTGCTTCACTCAACACAGGTTTTAAAACACAAGAACCACACAAGAGAACCTGGCACTATCAGTGGTCCTGAATTATTATTGGCTCAAATTAGCTGAGCCTATTAGACCAAAATGAAAATGAATGACGCTTTATTTCAGTTCTAGCTACACTGATTTCTGACTTCACATTGCTGAGTGGAATTAGCTGCTGGTACGACACATTCTCTCTGTGTGGCCGCAGGTGTTGTTTGTAATTATTCTGTCTCTGCCCACATGCTGTGTGAACAGGAGCATGTAATTAAAAATCCATCCACAAACACTGTATTTCCATTTTGAAATCTGCAGAACAACAAGCCTTGAAACGGACTGGATGATTTGTTTGCTTCTGGGTTTATTCAAAATACGTTTTTTTAACTGGAATAATATACCTTGCAACACACGTATGCAAACTAGAATGATAACATAGGTATTCATAGCAAAATCAAATACAAACCCTACAAAAAAGCATTGTGTGACCATCAAAGTAAACAACAGGTTTAGACAGTAACACAATCTGCTTCTTATATTCTGGAAGCTATTTCTGTTGTGGATGCGCAAAAAGATGGAGCCTGGGAAGGCGCAGGCAGAACCAGAGGCTCCCGAAATGCCGCCGATGCCCAGTCCTGGCACCCAGCGCGCAGCACCCTTGGGTGCAGGGAAGGGCATTTCAGGGGCACCGAAGGAGATGAACAGGAGCAGCTCTGAGGACACAGATTAATTAGCAGATTCCGCCCCCCGCAGGGCAGACTGGAAATCAAGGAGGGGGGCTGAGCTCCACCACAAGCGCCCCCCCCCTCTCCCCACAACTGGGGGCTCCCCATGGGCTCTCCTAGAGGGGACCCCGCCCCCCAAGCGCCCTGCAGAGCGGGGTGAGCCCAGCCCCGCCCCAGCTCGGGGCGCCCCTTTCCGCCGGGGGGGGGGGAACACCCCACCCCCAGCTCAGCCCGCCCCGCCCCCACTGCCCCGCGCCACCTGCCGCAGCGCGACCCCCCCTTACCTGCAGCCCACTCCAGCCCCTACTGCGGCCGCCGCAGCATTAGCACAGCCGCCCTGACGTCACCGCGCACGCGAACGTCCTCCCCCCCCCGCGCCGCGCCGGATCACGCGAGGGCGTCTCCTAGCGACGGCCCGGCGGCCATCTTGTTCCCCTTTGGGCGGCTGGGCCCCTCCGACCGGAAGTGCCCGGAACGGGGGGAGGGGCTGTAGCTGGGGGAGGGGGAGACAGGCACTCGCGGCACCGCGTCCGCGACCCCTGGCGTCACAGCAGGATCCGGTGACATCACGGCACAGTGATGGTCTGATGCAATATGATGATGTCATGACAGGGCAGGCTGTGCACTTCAGCGTATTGGACTCAAATATTGCATTGGGGAGCACGACGCAGCGGCAGCCCCTTGCATTACAGCATCCCCCGGCGCACCAACGTGCGATGTCGCACCCACGTATCCCCCCGGCGCACCAACGTGCGATGTTGCACCAACGTATCCCCCCGGCGCACCAACGTGCGATGTCGCACCCACGTATCCCCCCGGCGCACCAACGTGCGATGTCGCACCCACGTATCCCCACGGCGCACCAACGTGCGATGTTGCACCAATGTATCACCATGTCGCACCAACGTATCACCATACAAAGTCACCAACATACGATGTCGCACCAACGTATCACCACGTCGCACCAACGTATCCCCATGTCACATCATACAATGTCATCAACGTACAATGTCACACCAACATATCATCATGTTACACCAATGTATCACCATGTCGCACCACAATACACCACACCAACATATCACGTTACACCAACATATTACCACATCGCAACCCTGGTGTGGGAAACGGCGTGGGCCGCAGGGACGTGCTGGCCAGCGCTTCCCGCAGCTCCCATTGGCTGGGAACGGTGAACTGTGGCCACTGGGAGCTGCAGGCGGCCATGCCTGTGGATGGTCAATGTATTGTAAACAAACTGTCTCGTGGCCCGCCAGCAGATTACCCTGATGGGCCGCGTGCAGCCTGCGGGCCTCAGGTTGCCCACCACTGCCCTAGCCCCTTTGACTGACACAAGAATAAAACCCGGTACAGCAACTTCATACGCTCTAGGCCTGCTTCTCTTTTCACGCCCAGTGATATCAAACAGGCGTCGTTCTGCTGCAGCCAATGGAGCCGCGCTGGTGACAGTGAGAGGATAATCAGGCCCGTTGCTTTGAATCCAAGCGATAAAGGCAGTGTGTTTCAGTGGAGACGCAATTCCACCCAGCAACAGCCAGATTAATCTCCACACAGAGATTTGCATAATGTGGAAATCTGACATACAAGAAACTTCCCTCCAAGTAAGAGTTCATCATTTCCTCTGCTGTTAGATTGTTAAATGGAAACATGATTTCCTAGGAAGGAAGCCAAGCCCCACAAATGAAATTAACTTAATTAAAATACACGTAACTGCTAAGTACGTATTCTGCTTATTGACAGAGGCTTTTGGTAAACATTGGCTCTTTATTCCAGTTACAAAGTTTTAAGTTTAAAGAGGGGCTTTTGCACTATGGAAAATGTCAGATCTAATCACGGACCCGTTCACTCTTTACCTGCTTTCGTTAATTCCTTGTCATTTGTGCTAATTGCCACGGAAAGTAATTGATTCCAGTGGATGAATTTGGTGCACACTTCATCCTGAAGCAATTCACAAAATATGCACAGCACTACTTATATGCAGCCACTCTGGGGAGGAAACCATTAGTTGCCACACTCTGCAACAGTAGGGGTAGAAAGGCGTATAGACCGCTGTGAGGAAGTCAAACATTACCGGAGGCCGGAAAGAGGTGTAATTCAATAGACATCGTGGAAGGACATATCACCTCCTCAATGCTGCTTTCCTTACCCCCAGAAGATATCCTGGAGCAAAATCCAGCTTCTCTGGTTAGAGTTCAGTGCCAAGATACCAGCTCCGTCCTTCCCTATTATCCTGTGCTTGTAGCTGACTCTGTATGGAAGGAGCCTCATGTATATTGTAGCCCCTTGTTTTGCCTCAATTTGCACCCTGTACGGTGCAGCGTCTCCACTTCGAATTGTTTAGAAATACGTATCTTTTGTTTTAAATCACCTGACTGGGTTGTGCCCAGCAAAGCGGAGCTGTACATCTCCCCACGCAGCCTGTCAAGGGGCTGAGCTCTGTGTCAGGGAGACAAACGATACTATTATTAATTATGCCTAGGAGCTGGAAGCATGGCCCGGGACCCCCAGCGTACTCAGAGTTGCACAAACACAGAACAAAAAGCTGATTCCTGCCCCAAAGAGCTGCTGATCTATGGGTGAAACAAGAGCCAACAAATGGCTGCAGACAGATGGGGGAACAGAAGGAAACAGCGAGATAAGATTGTCAGCATGACAGGCAGCAGTCTCAGCCCACCAGCAGCCGACCCTAATACATACAGCACATGTGAGTGAGTCTGGGGCCTCGCTTTATAGGAAAGGCAGGAGCATTACAATGGCAAGGCTCTAGTTTTCATTTTGATCCAGGTAGCTGACATAATCCCACCAATTGCCCTGGGAAGATGGAGAGAGCTGGGAGAATCAAATACTAGAATGGACCAATTTGTGCTGTTGAAATGCCCGACATTGATGGCAGCCCAGGAGACAGGACTGCATGGAACAGAGACATGAGCAGCTGCAGAAGTCCATGTCCCTTCCACCCCCAGTTACTGCCAGCCAAGTTACCTCTCCCCTTCATCCAGAGGCTCTCCTGGGGCGGAAAGGGTAATTTATTCTCCACTGCCCACTCAGTCCTTAGCCTCGTTACTTCAGCTACCAACAAGAGGAGCAAATGTGCCAATTGCAATTGGGTTTTTTGTATGTGGCCACTTGTCTTGTACAAAGAAGCTGACACCGATGCTGTAAAATTAACAGGTGGGCTATAGAGAGAATCGGTCACATCCAGTGAGATGTGGAAACTTCAAAGAACAAATTACATTCAGGTCCAAAAGGGGAAGACTCCGGTTGCCACGTATTGGGCCATCCTGGTATGTCCCTCTGAGAGGAAGCAGGGGCTGTGTAGCCATTCATCACATTTCAGCTCATCAGGGCATGACAGCTCCATGCAGAGCGAGTTTAGAACAGCCCACTTAGCCTCCTGTAGAAAGCAGCCAGCCCAAAAATATAGACCTGTACGTTTATCTTCTTGAGAGCCTTCCACCCAGCTTTACAGGTTCCACTCCTGGTGCGTTCAGAATTGTTGTTCCCATATTACAGACAGGAAAACTGTGGCACAGAAAGGAGAAGTCACTTGGCCAAAGTCACGCAGCGAATTAATATCAGAACTAGAAAGAGACAAAGATCTGCTGACTTCCAGTGCTGTGTGTTAACCACCACACCATGCATCCTCGAGAGCAGCTCTGCTCTGCAATGGCGCTCATGTGAATAACAACAGCAGAGCCACAGCGTGTTGTGGCCGAAATTAACGTTGTGTGTCTGTGTGCGTGTGCATGGAGCACTGACTCATCAGTTGCAAACACTGGAAATAGGCGGTGTGTGTTAATCCTCGGGGGGGGGGGGGAGCCAATTTGCTGAGAAACGCCAGTGTATAACAAATGACACTATTAGCCTGTGACATAAAAAGTGTGTTGTGGGCTTCAGATGGGGCACCAAATCTAAATCAGTACTGGTGCGGGTCCAGCAGCGTCACATGACCGGGGGCACTGGGGCGGGGAAGTGCTGACGGTTGCCATAGATATCCTAGTGGATGGTGAACTCCCCAGCTTGTACATGATGAAACAGCCAAGGTGGGTTCGAGACCAACTGACTGGAACCCTGTGAGGGGCTCTTGTTTGCCAATCTGTGGCCAGACACAGGGCTGACCCCCAGCTGTAGGATCCCCTCTCCTGAGACGAGAGCATCCCGATAATCCAAGACCCTCAATGAGATTCCAGCTGTGACCCGCGAGGTCTGGCTGCAGCTCTTCCGGCTGAGCCTAAAACCAGCTTCTCCTGGCCCAGCACTAGAGTTGTTGCTGCTGGGGGTTGCTTTCCTTTGGCTGAGCCAATAGGACCAGTGGTGAGCTGGTCTCAGCTGGGAGTCATCCATGCACGTCCTAAGCCTTCCTCCTTCCATCAGCCTCTTGGCTGGTAACAGGCATGCTTCAACCACTGCTCTCAAACATTCTACCCAAGCCATCTTGCAGATGAGCCTATGGCCATAAACAAAAGCCAAGGCAATAAACAAGCGGCCTGTGAACCGTTTTTGATTCATATTTAACGTGAAAGCTCCTCAGGACAGGGGCTGCTCCTCGTCTATCTTCAGCCCAGCAGTGAGCAGGATACCCGCGTGACGTCATTCATCATTTCCACTCCCAATCAGCAGTGTGGAACGCACTATCTTCCTTCGGGCAGTGCTTTCGGCACTCGTACCCTGGCGTGTGCCGAGAGCATGTACTGCGCTTAGAAAGCGAGTAACTAGATCCCGTTGATGACTAGGGGACTGCAGAGCTGAGCTGGGTGCTCTCCGGTGGGAGTGCCCGGTCACTTCACTGCACGCTGCTGGGTTTAGATTTACGCCTTTGATTTAAATCTGCCTACAGATACAAACACAGTAGTAACATGTCAACACCGATCTCACATATGTACTTGCATGTGTGTGTGTCCACATGTATGTAAATATACATAGACAGGTGCGTGCAATTCAATCTCATGAATGAGCCAAAGGGACGTGCCACAACTAGTCAATAGGGAGTATAAGCCTCTCTAAAATAATGACAGCCCGCCTGACCCAGACCTGCACAGCAATACGAACTGGAGGCAAAGGGGTTTGAATGTTCCAGCTGAGTTCCTGTCCTTCTATGTGCAGTTGTTTCAGCCGCCCTTTCATGTACACAGCTGTGCCCAGAAGGGGCTTGTTTCTGTCTAGCAGCTTCCCGGGCAGCTTACAGCAGGGTTTTGTTTTTCCTCTCGGCCAGATTCCTTGCAGTTTTGCACAGAATGCCTTTGAACGGATGGCAAAGAAGAGGCTGTTGGGAGTTTTGGAGTTTCACATTCCTCCGTGAGCCGTGCCTGGGCTCGCATGCAAAAGCCATCGCCTCCCCTCCGCTCCAACTATTTTAATCATTTCAAAAAGGGTGGGTCATCAGGCATTTGGCTGTGGTTCCTTTTATATAGCTAAGGTGGAGTCAGCCAATGGCCTGCAAGCCTGGAAACATTTGCAGGGCAGTTTCCCTGGACAGCTTTGCAGAGCTGTGCCATTTGAATTCAAGCACGCACACACACACACGCACTGTGCTCTCCATTTCTGGCTTGCCTCCCAGCACAGAGAGTTGAGCTAAAGCTCGGGTTCACTTTTTTCTTCTCACTCTCCTCCCGGCAGCGACAGCTTCTCCAGGCTCTGCTAGTCGGGACTCCCAAGCAAGCATGGCGGACACCCCTTTGCAAATCATTGAGCAGCCTGCTCCTTCCGAGACCTCCGAGGAGCAGGTGGCCGAGGAGCCGATTAAATCAGATCAGATCAATGGCGTGATGGTGCTCACCCTCCTGGACAAGATCATCGGGGCGGTGGATCAGATCCAGCTGACCCAGACGCAGCTGGAGGAGAGGCAACAAGAGATGGATAGCGCAGTGGCCAGCATCCAGGGGGAACTTACCAAGCTCACCAAAGCACACACCACCACCAGCAACACCGTGAACAAGATGCTCGAGAAAGTACGCAAGGTGAGCGTCAACGTGAAAACCGTCCGGCAGAACCTGGAGAAGCAAGCCGGGCAGATCAAGAAGCTGGAGGTCAACGAGGCGGAGCTGTTGAAGCGAAGGAACTTCAAAGTCATGATCTACCAGGTAAGGAGACCTCCTGCAGCTCCTCAGGCACCGTCAGTGTGCATTTTCAGTGCTAACTGTACCACCATGATGGCACATTGCCTCACATGGCTCCTCTACCATCCAGTGTTGAAGTGTGCCATAAATAGGGCATTCCAAATCTAACAGCACTGGTTTCTTCATAAGGCAGAAGGATTAACATAATTATTGATTGCACTTAACAAAAATGAGTACAGGAAATTTCATAAAGATGGTGAGACTGGCCCCAAGCACCCCACTGCAAAAGACCAGCAGAAGTTGGTTACCTAGCAAGACTGCTGTTTAACTAAAGGAGGAACTGGAGAGGGGTATTTTAAGACAGAGGATTTACTCTGAGGGATGAAGCCCTTAGTGCAACAAGAAGCCTTGATGCTAGTTCAGGTTTATAATATGCATCCTAGAGCAATAACATGGAACAATAACTCCAGAGTCATGTTTAACCTCACTCTTACAGGGGACATAGTGGAGACATTAAACAGAAAATCCGGTCCGGTCCACTGAATTCATTAGCACCTCCTTTCCCCGGGATCTGCCTTTACCACATTGGTTGTAAAATGAAATACGATCCAGCGTATGTTACAGATTCCTTCATCGATAAGCGGCAGGTCCTGGGCATTCCAGTCGCTCCGTTTCTGTGACGGGCTGCTTCACGCTGTAGGCTCAGCACCCCCACTCAGAGCTGGACTGGCCTTTAATCTTTTAATACCAAACAGGCAAACGAGCAAAACAAATGCAGCCACAGGCGTCCGCCTCCCCTTCCGCTGCCTGTCTGGGTTTAGCTTCACTTTGCAGAGCAGACCCCCAGAGTGGAAAGCTGGAGAAAAACTGAATGGGCCAGTTCACGAGATAAGGATAGTTCAAAGCATCTGGGTTAATAATAGACTGTGTGAGGGATACATAGAGAAACATCCAGCGCGGCTCACAGGGAAAAGGGGGAAGAAAAACCCCACAAAATCCACAGCACTTCTTACTAGCCTAGTGTGAAAGGCGATCTAGTCAGGCCAGGCTGAGGAATCTAGCAAGTAGCGGGACCGATATAGGTCTCTGATTCACAGCTTAAGCATTTATAGTTCTGCCATGGAGGCTGAAACACTCACGTATATTAGGAGCATGTCAGCCACCTCAACAGATTTATAAATACATTTATCGGAAGCTCTGGGGACTGAGCGTGCACAGAGGACTAGAGCCAGCTGTGGAAAATGGTGACACCTAAAGCACCCATGCTGGAAACAACCCCTGGGAAGGGAAGGGAGCGAAAGGGGCGGCTCGGGCAGAACATCCCTGGCAGGTATTTTGAAGTGGTAGGGAAATGGCCAGTTCCTGATTCCTGGTGGACTGGCACTGTGAGAACCTGCTCTGTAGTGTGTGCTGTTGGTGGTGAGCATGGGAGATTCCTCATGCAAACGAAACAAATCATCGGTCTCCCCTTTCCTGTGGGACAAAGCTTTCATACAGGACCCGATCCTACTTCCACTGCAGGCAAAACTCACATTGAGTCACTGGGCGCAGGCTTGGCCCCTGAGTTAGAATCAGCTGAGAAAGGCCCTGAGGTGAGACTTTCTGCGGCACAAAGTTGTTCTCTAGACAAAGGGCAGAATGTTTTGAAATCCAGACTGAATTATCCAGTGTGGATTTCAGCATGAGACCCCCGAGCGTTAAAGCCCAAGGGAGACACTCATGGAAAATACAGCTGTGCATGGACTTAGGAAAACGCACGGCCTTTCATCACACCGCAGAGTTTGCACAACTCTCTCCCCATGCCCAGAGGACGCCGCAAGAGTAAGAGAGCGAAGGAGGTCTTGGGGCAAGGGGGCGGCCTTGTGCCCAAACCCCACTGAGCGAATGAAGCTCCTTTGTGGAGGAGAAGCCATGCACAGTGTCCTGATTTAAAGCCCGGGCTGGAGAGCGAAATCCATGAGACCTGCAGTGGCTGAGAACTAGGATAGGATGGGCAGCAGCCATAATTCTGTATTAGCACAACAAAGACGCCCCTCTCTATTACTCCACTGCTGTGTTAGCTGAGTCACAGATGATCCTGTACAATGAGCATTCTGACGGCTACTAACAGATCACAGGGAACCCCCTGGAAGAGTGGGGTGTGTTTGTCCAGTCCACTTTCCCCTGCATACAATGGAAAAAGAGCTTTGCAGTCAGGAGAGAAATGTTCACACTGGTGTCAGCCCGCACTGCCTTTCTGGATGCTTCTGCTGTCCCGTGGGGCTAGCTTTGAGCCATTCGCAAGGCAAACCCTATGATTGGTTCACACTGATCGGTTATGAAGGAGGATCATTATTCTGCGCTCTGCCCTGCACTAATCATGTATCATTTATCATCCCCTGGGCAGTAACCGGGGCTGGATGGTTCTGAAGCTGTGGTTAACGGGCAGTGTTAACAACATCTAGGAATGTCTCTTGTTTGTGTACTTGGAAAGTTTGCCCCAGGAATGTGGGGAGAGACGATCTGGGGCAGGTTTTGCCTGGGCAGGTTTCTGTTTTAGGAGATTGCGTCGCTGTGTAATTACCCATGAAGGAGACTGTATATTGATGAAAATATCAGGCTGCAGGGTCCAGTCCTGTTTACTCCTTTGAGTATCCCTATCAAAGTCAGTGGTTCTACTCCTCTGAGTAAAGGGAGTGGGATTTGGCCCAGGGTGTGTGTGAGGCATGCCAGGATGAACACTTTTAATAAATGAATAAAAGGATGAACAATCATCTCGATATCTAGGATCCAGAGGCTTTATAACAAATCATGGAGCAGATTCCGCCCCCTTGCGCGCGCTGAGACGTGCCGTTCTTGTCAGGAGCCCTGTGGATTCCAGTGGGTTTACTCATGGACTAGGTCCTTCTTCGGCTATTTAGTAACAATTATTGTGTATTATTTGCTAAGCGCCAACCATGTGTAAGTCACAAACATCCTAATAATAATCCCTGTCCTGGGGAGTTTACAAGGGGGAACCTCTCTCCCAAGCCTGGCTGTAGAAAACCAGTAGCGAACAGTCCCCTAGTTCTCATGCTCAGCGCTTTCCAGAATGAACACTCAACGGAGGGTTAGTCTAGATGCTTCCTTGACTAGTTTTGTTCTTCTAGTGTCTAGGAACAATTCCATTATCAACCTTTACCCGCATTTGTGCTTTAAGAAACTGTGACGAACTTTCCTGCTCCCTTGTGACTTCAGTAGCCAAGGGAAAGATTTCAGAGCTCGTTTTATTATGGGGGGCAAATGTGCCTAACAAACCCGCAGGATTAGCCGGGAGGAGGAATGGGGGGACTGCTCAGCAGGGAAGAGGCTGCTCCCCAGGCGCATTTAGTATGGAAGGATGCTGTGCCTTGGAGAAGCAAAAGGATGAAGACGAGAAGGCAGTTTTAATAGGTGAAGGATGCCTGGTTATGGACAGACTGACACCCAAGGTGCAAGCGAGATCCCTAGGACTGCTTGTGCGGGGAAGTCAGGCTAAATGCAGACCCCCTACATCAGTATTTGACTTATCCTAGGAGCACAGAGAACATGGAAGTGGGTTCCTCTGTGTCTTGGCAGCTGAATTTTGGTCTGGAGAGTTGAGCATAAAGCACATCTGTCTTGTCCGCCTCAGAACGAGGGAGAGAACGGGCAGTACTAAAAAGCAGCCACACCCAGGGAGGATCTGTACAGTGACTTTGATGGGAGTTGGATCAGGCCCCAAGAGCAATGTGGAAAAAAAGCCAACCCCGAATGAAGCCGTGATTCTTTGCCAAAGCGCTGTGGACAGAGCTTTAACCTCCAGGTCACAGCGGGGAACGTTCATGCCCAAGAAGCTGGATGGCAGAGGGCTGGGCCCTTCTTTGCCACTCGTATCCCCAGAGCTGCTGTTAGTGCATCCGGTTATAAAAGCCATGGCCTGGGTAACTCACCTGGCACAGGCCAGCTGGAGAACCGCGAGTAGCTACAGTTCCACTAACGCGCCTTGTTCCGCCACCATTTTACAAGCGAATTCATCCTTCGGAATGACACGGACCTGCTTTTCGTAGGGTCAGATTTTGAAAAGCGAGGCCCCCAGCACCCAACTCTGCCCACCGCTGTGGTGCCTGGCCCATGCTGCACGGTGCCCCCGTTGTCCGACTTAGGGGGCTCGGGGCAGGGGGAAGCAGGCACCCAACGCTGATAGGTGCAGACCCAGCCCCCCCTCCCCCAAACTGACGCTTTCAATGGACATTCTGGCCACCCGGGCGTGGTGGGGACTATTTTCCAAAGCTTTTGGCAGTGCCGGGGAGCCACCTGGCCCGTTCCTTTGTGTGCAGCGTCTTGTCTGTTCTACTGGGGAGGGCGGTTGTTTGGGAGGCCCCCACAGAACTTCGTCTGCCTTGCCAATGAATCAGAACAGCCGCTCCAAGCCCACCAAGAGGCTGAGCAGTACCGAAAAAGGCCAGGTGGCCATGGGCTGGAAAACGGATCCCGGCTCCACAATGTGTAGGGTAGGTGGGGCTGTGCGAGGAGTATAAATAGCACAGCTTGGCGGTGGTGCCTCCACTGGGCCTTATAGGGCTCCGAGCGGCCAAACGCCTGCAGCAGGGAGGGGCGGACTCCCTGTGAACCCCACGTGTCACGTGGCGGGTCTGGAAGCCAGACCCAACGCGGCCATTACGGGGTTCGTGCTCTGCGAAGGACCGTGTGAACCGGAGCCTGAGTGTGTGTGTGGGGCGGGAGGAGAATACAGCCGTCACACTGGGGTGCAAAACGGAGCAGAGAACAGGGCAGAGTGGGAGCCAAACCCCCAAAGAGAGAACACAAAGTGCAGCCCGGTGCTGGAGAAGGAGCATTCATTCTGCCCAGCTGAGCTGCAAGGCCTTGTCCCCCTCCGCCGCAGAGCTGGGCTGCCCCGGAGCTCGGACTCAGGGGTTTAATGACAAGAAAAGACTTGGGAACGCCCAGGAGATTTGCAAACTCAAAACCAGCTTGCAAGGGGCACAAGCCCGGGGACTCCACAAAGTTTGCCCAGCTCCAAGCTT